TATGGGGCACATTAGTTAAGATGAGATCAATTAAGGAGGATTTATTTGGGAACTTAATGTTAGGGCGAGTAGGACTGTCAACAATCTGAGTAAGTGGTGGTTTCCAGGCCGTTGGCATCTGTGGAGCCAGATGAGAGCGGTTTGCAATTTCCAAGTGTGTTTCCAATTTATACTGTTACGCGTGCGCAGAGCCGTAGGATGTCTACTGACCTACCTGTTTCGGAGTGTAGAAAAAGTGGTCCAACACGGTCCTTTGACTTTGAGATCGAGACAAAGAAGAAGAAGAGGAGGCCGAAGAAGAGGAGGCCGAAGAAGAGGAGGCCGAAGGAGGTCGGCGTGCCCAAGAGGCCGATGAGCGCCTACATGCTGTGGCTCAACGCCAGCCAACCCAAGGAGGAGTGGGACATAAAAGCAGTGGAGGCGAAGAAGCAGTACGAAATCGCAAGGCAAGAGTTCAAAGACAGCGGCGGAGGAGGAGCGTCCTCCAGTCCTAAGAAGGAAAGTAAAAAAGCTGGAGTTAAGAAGAAGGATGTTGGGTTGTCGTGGACCCCTTTGGGGCCCCGTCTTAAGGGGGGGGCTGTGATGCCCCTGTGCGTTCATCAGTAGAGAGGGTGTGGCTGTTCTGTCTGTGCTGCATTGGCTCCAGTGATTGCATTGATTGCAGTAACTCAGGGCACCTGGGTCTGGTGTCCTGCAGCTATTTAAAGCCTCTCTGCTCCTCTCTGTTCTCGCTCTGCTTTCCCCTGCAGACACCTGGGTTTTGGTTGAGTATGAAGTACGGGTTTTCTCAGTTGCTCCACTTTGTTGCACTCTATGAATTTGGCTAATTTGAATTACTTTCTTTAATAAACATCTTTTTCTACCCGTTGACATGTTGTGTCTCCACTTTGTTGTGGCCTTTTGAGCCAGGTCGCAACAAATGGACTGTATGTCTAGCTCCATGTTGCAATAACATGACCTTATTTCACTTTTTAGTGCACTTTCCAGCTTGAATATTCTCTGTAAGCTTACCAAGCCCAAAGTCCTCCTGGATCCGAGCAAACAGCCACATCAACAGTGAGCACACAGTCAGTGCTCCAAGCCTACAACTGTGCACAGTGGGTGGGAGTAATGTATATGGAGTTTGTATTAACAGTTGCAAAATATGACCTTTAGACCTACATGTCTCTAGAAAACATGTTCAAAGTTGGTATAGGAGGGTCAGAAAGTACATCACTCTGCAAGTTTACTAACAGTTCACTTTAGTAACACTGGAATTAGGAGTGTAATCAAGGACAGATTACAGAAAAGGTGGAAGAAGAAGAGACAATTGTTTGAAACATTTCAGAGAAAAGTTGTAGAAATGAGATGGACAGGATGGAGACAGTAATATTCAGATTAAGACCATTGTACACGACCTAGCAGCAGTGGCTTTGTGCTCTAATGTATTTGTTTGTATGGCATGGCAGGATTGGCCTTTAACCTTTTTTCGTATAACCACAATGTGAGACATTTGAAGGATTCACACACTACTAAAGGTATGGTTATGGCAGGTTAGGACACTAAAGGTACCTTGCATGTCATTTTAAATCAGCCAAAATAACAAAAACATTTTAGAAATGTTTATATATTTTTTAGAATGTATACAGCTATACATGTCCCGAGTCAAATGGACCCTAAAGAACACGAGTCCTTCACAGTGCAGACTTTGTTGTTTGTCTTCCTCCTGTCTCTCTCTTTATGTTTTCTATTTCAATGACTTTAGTTCACACACATTAATGTGAATGATTTGGTGTTTTCTTGCATGTAAAATATCTTTTAAATGCAGCTTAATTCATGTTCTGCTACATCACCACACCCAGGTGTGAAATAGTTCACACCTGTTTCAAAACAACAGAATCTGTGTGAATTGTGATTCGCCTGGCATGATTCACTGCACATGTAGCTCCAGGGTGCGAGAGATTGGTGGGAGACAACACATTTCACATGCAATAACCTGTAATACACTCTCTATTTGTGACTTGAAGAATCACCGCACTCCTAAAAAGTTAAAGCATGCCCAGGCACCCCACTCACTTCCAGACTCCCTGTTGAGCGTCACGTCCCTGTTTAACCCCAGCGGATATTCCTTGGCCCTGAGGGAAGCAGTTACATCAACACTTAATCATATAATCAGACAAAATGTCCCAGGATAACAAGCATGCACAGTGGAAATATCAACTGTGACAAAAAGAGTGCGTAATATTGTCCACAGCTGAGACAATATAAGTAGCAGAGATGCTGCTAGGATTTTCATTTCATTTCATTTCAATCTTTATTTCGAACAGATTAAAAAAAATAACAAATAAAAAATAACAAATGTGAAAAACAGAATACCGTATTGTTAAAATACAGTATTTATCCACATTCACGATAATATTTATATATTCAACAAAAAAAGTCTTCATATTAATAATAATTATTTTAAAAATTGTGTCCGAAAGGGAGTAGGAGGAAGCAAATGCTTATTAATTCCCACCCCTTACTTGATCAATGATTGTCCTTTAAGTCATTATGCAAGTTATTCCTACTTACATTTACATTTATACATACATATACAATAATTTCTCATCTTCAGTCACCTCTCTTCATTCTCATACTTTTCCAAAAAAGTGTTTCTGTACATCCTTTTAAACTGAATTATGCTTGTGCTTTGTTTTAACTCCTGCTCCAAAGCATTCCATAAAATCACCCCACAGATTGTTATACTCATACTTCTCAGAGTTGTTCTGACCTTGAGTTGTTTAAAATGTAGATTTCCTCTCAAATTATACCCACCCTCTCGGTCTATGAACAATGTTTTTAATTTCCTAGGAAGTAGATTATGTCTTGCTCTGTACATGATTTGTGCCGTTTTAAATTTAACCAGATCAGTGAACTTCAATATGTGTGACTTCAAAAATAATACATTAGTGTGTTCAAGATATCCAACATTATTGATAACTCTTATAGCCCTTTTTTGTAATGTGCATACCGGCTGTAGGTTGGTTTTGTACGTGTTTCCCCAAATCTCCACACAGTAAATCAGATATGGCAATATTAGTGTGTTATATAGAGTATACAATGAGTTGTAGTCCATAATGTGTCTGGCTTTTCCCAATATTGCGATAGTCTTAGCCAGTTTTGCTTTTACATACAGGATCTGTTCTTAAGTAGCATTGGTGAAGGGGAAATAAAGAAAACTAGTTAAGAATGACTTCTAGTGATTGTTTGCTCATGATTCAAGGGTTTAGATGAAGAAGGGGGTTTTGAGTTTGTTATTTTGTTCACTCTTTTCCCTCCCCTGTGCAAAGGTAAAACATGAGCTGACAAATCCCTACTTGAGGAGTTGTGCCAGTTAATATAGTAAGATCAAAACTGTGTGGCATTCTCTGAGATTTAAGGGGCATGGGGTTTGAGAAGAAACCCCTCCACATCCAAGTTAATGAAGACGTCCTTCAGGATAAGGTCAGCTGATGCTCAGCAGAGGTTTGGTGGTGCCACAAGACGATGAGCCTGACTCCAGAACTAAACCCAATAGAGATGCGTTGGACTGACATCAAAAGAGCCGTTCTTAGAAACCTTGAGGATATGGCAGTTCTGTGAGGAAGAATCGTCCGGAGGTACCAGAAGCACTTGTTGCAGGTTATTGCTGCCAAAAGAGGTTCGAACGGTATTAAATCCAATGGTGCTCTTACTTTTCCCACCAGGGCTTTGAATGTTTAATGCAGGGGTGTCCAAACTACGGCCCGGGGGCCAACTGCGGCCTGTTGTCTGAAACACCTGAAACTTGTGCTTCTCTTATATTGTACTTCTTAAATATAGATGAAAACAGATATTACACAGTATTCATGTGTTAATGAGCCCACTATTTAAATAAAGTAAGTCAATGAAAGTATGAAACAGTTTCTAACAAATCTTAGTTGATAAAAAAAATTACTTATTCACATAACAAGCTTGAAATATACCCGTCATATTTCCCCTTATTATAAGCAATCTAAGGCTTCTGTTTTAAGGAATGAGCTGCCAACAGAGTAAATGAAACCCTATGGAGAGCCGTTTTCTTTTTAAAGCATATTCAAGTATCAAGCATAATTGACATTTGATTGATTATAAAATGTTTGGACAACCCTGGTTAAATGGGTGTGTTCAATAAAGATTATAAATGTGTGTGTGTTATTAGCTTGAGCTCATAGTGTTTTTGATTATAATTGTGACTTAGATGATCAGATCACATTTAATGACCGATTCATGCAATAAACAAGGAAATCCAGTACCACTTTACAATAAGACTACCCTTATAAAGTGTTTACGAATAGTTTGTAATTAATTTATTAATTAGGTTGTGAGCACTTTATAAATCATTAATAAGCTTTTATAAGACATGAGATAAACAGGGCAACTGTGACCGGTTGCTTGCCAAATAGAGAGCCCACATTTATCTGTACTGCTAAGCCTTATATTGGCTACTTAGCTTACTTCGTCTTCTTCATCAGCCAGCATCCTTGGTATCTGTTCATTGAGTTGATTCTCGCTAAGTAGCCAATATAAGGCTTAGTCATCTTGCCAAATAGTGAGCCTGTGTTGATGTATGAAAACTATGTTAGATCTGGTTTATAAATGGTTCTTAATGATTAATAAAGTGTTTACAACCTAATTCATAACCTAATTATAAACCCTTTATGAATCCTTTATAAGGGTATTGTAAAGTGGTACCGGAAATCCCAAGGGTCCACATGTCCACAGGTTTTCTGTAAATGGCCTGACATGAAAAAGATATACATTCATTCATCAGTAAGTTTAAGATTATACAACGTTATATTAAGGGGCTTTTTTAAATAAAATAAGCTAGTAACTGCTGGACAGTGAAATCAAAATATTATAATGAATGCCTAAAGAGTGTGCAATAGCTTCGAGCAAATCACTCTTGATATACTATATTCTTACTTTGCTCACTCTGTTTTACGGTGAATAAATCAGTAATAAAGTTAAGACAGTAAACATTTTAATAAAAGACACAGTTTATTTAGACTTGCTTGTTTGCCAGCTTGACCAAAGAGCACAACATGCAACAGTGAAATAATTTAAACACTACATAAATAAAACATCACGGAAATGTTATGGAGGAAATGTTTCTCTTTCAGGTTTAAAGATAAATAAAACCCTTTACCCTTTAGATGCAAACTATAACAAACAGAGTGTCAGAAGAATGTAATCAAGTATATGTGTAAATGAAGATAGAGTAAAGCCTATTTATGTCTACAAAATGAAAGTAGTATACTGTAGGTAAATAGTTTGTTTTTCTTTAAATGTTTCCTTATTAAACCTTCAAATAGAGCCGATACCTTTTCTTTGCATCCATCAACTCTGGTGTCTGGTTTTTTAATGTCTGAATGTAGTACAGAGTCTACAGTTGGGTAAAAGAGTCACTAAATCATTGAAAGGTCACTTTTCTCGACTCAGATTTGGCAATCTTTTCAGAAATACGTGAAAATGAATTCATTATTTCCCTTTAATAAATAATCTATCACATTGAAACCTCAATCATTTGCTCTGAAATCATTTTAGTAAGGCCTTCAACACACCAACTGTATGTTTTGATGTATGTTTTTAAAAGCTAGGATATTAGGTACATAAATAAGGGCTTTTCATTTTTAGGGGTTAGACAAATCTTCTTATTGTGTAAATGGAGCAGTATGGAGGATTACAACGTAAAACATTAGTATTTGTTTTTTGGTATCAGTACAAAAGATTTGGTAGAGAACTCATATTTGGAACTGCTAATAACTTAATAAAATATACTAAGATATTAGTGACTGTACAGTGGGTGTACATTGGCAAACCATCATTGCACTGACATAGTTCTGTGTTTTGTTTTGATAAAGGAAATCGATTTACAATTCACACGTTACCCTATTCCTAATTCGCTTTAGTGGGGAAGGTGTGGGAGTACATGTGTTTTGTACCTCTTCGCACGTCAGGCTGATATCATTTCCTCATAAAACATTTACGATGTAGACAAGTTGAGGCAGAGAGCGCCAGGTGTTGAATTATGTGTCTATGGGTAATTCAATAATTTACCGAATGAAGGCACTACTGAGGGTGTGTTTACAGTGCATGTGTTTTTGCACGTTTGTTAAGTGTGTGTTTAACTTTGGTCCACTTCTGTCAGGCCACAGGGTCTCCTGAACTCTTGTCCTCGCTCGTGGATCCACTTATTTGACACTGATGAAATAAAAGAAAACATACATATGAGGGGAAAAAAAGCCTAGTCGGATTAGTCATGCATTCTAAACAAAAAAAACAGCCCTGTTCTCTGTGATGGTAAGACTCATAATGACCAAAGATTCACCAAATATTATTCCTTCCCATTCAATGTAGTAATTAAAAACCGTGATGAATCTTAACTGTTACTTACCCCATTTACTTCCTACTAAGACGGGACAGGCTGCATGCCTGGTCCTATAGTCTCCCTCCCCACTCTTGAACAGATTGTACCAAAACACTGCCGTCCCCTGTGGAGAAATTGAACAAATTCACATATAAAGCTCACATATGATGTACAGGAGAGAGGGGACGATAGTTAAAAGACAGATTATGGGTTACAGCAGTCCTGGAGCACAAGCGGCTTCACGCTGAGTGTGGATCATTGCAGCAATATGACCCGAGTTTCTCAAGCGGACTATTGGTTGCTTGACAAGTACATACACAGAAAACATGAAGAATACACATGAAAAATACACATAAAACAAAAGAGTCAATTCTAAGTAGAATGTAAAGTTGTTGTAAGCCAGCAGGAGAAACGTGAGGATCTACTTTGGGACTCAACACTTCGAGGGAAATTATAAGGTTGGATTATTGGATAGACTGATGAGCAAGAAATTGGAAAACAGAGGTCAACATTGAACCGGCAGTTGGGGTTAAGTTGGGACACAATGACTGTCCAAGGCCAATTGCAGTTTGTTTTCCAAGCTACAAGTAAAAAGACAGCTGCCTTCACAGAGAAAGACATTCAGATGAATGACCAGAATTATTCACATCACGAACAAGTGTTTGAGGAGCGTGCAAAGTACAAAGAAACAACTTCTTGGCAAAAGAAAAGAAAATATATTTGACATCTACACACTGCAGAAGATAGAAGAAGAACACAGTGTTGGCAGACCATGTGGTAGACAGTTCCCTTTTGTCCATGGTATGCGTATTATGTTGAAGGGTAGCCCAAAGCACCATGTACTGTACAAACAATACTATACTATATAGTGAAACACTATTTCACTATTTGCAGCGATTTAACATAAGTGAGCTAGCCAATGTAGTTGCAAGAGGATTCATAGTAAATGTTTAGTTACAGAAAAAGGATCATTCATTTGGTGTTAATAACATATTTTGTTTATTTTTAACAAATAGGTCAATACATTTTTGTTAATGGTATTTTGATTTATGTGTAATTCTAGACCTATTAAAATAACAGACTTTCCAAACATTATAAATGATAATCATTTGGTGGCCTCCCTGCGGTAAGGACCCCCATCTGTGCCACGGCGCCACTGTTAAAGAGCCATGACCTAGGGCAAATACTTCTGAAGTACTGCACAAAGTCTATAGTTTAGAAAATGTCACGCTTCATCAATTTTCATTTCAAAGTAATACCTAGTAAATGTACAGGAAACCTCCCACTGAGATCCTCCATCATTCTGTCAGGACTTACAGAGAGTGGGCGTGTTTAATCATTGACTCAACATAACAACACAGAAAGATCTGTTTTCCACAAAGTGAACACAGTCTAAATTGGAAAATATTATTATAATATTTATTCACAGACATTCTCTGCTGTCATCACCTTTCTAGGCCTGATAGCTGCTCCAAAGTCAGGGAAGACGGTGGCTCCTCCTGCCTCCACGTCGCTCATCTGAGGAAACACACACACTCGTTGGAAACTGCTTTAATTAAACACATGTTTTGTTTGTTTTATAAATGCTGTTAATGTATATACTGTATACATTGATTTTAATTTCAGAGCACTATATAGCAAGATAGATTATTGTGTAATGTAATTTCTTTAGTCAAAACATTTGAAATGTTGCTTAATGAGTGGCATGTAAACAGGGTCCAGTTAAGGACTTGCATGAAGTAATTTGCACAAAATAAATAAATATTTCTTATGTTGTTTTTGTTTGTAGAAGCGCCACATTTATTGATTTATTGTAAAAATGAATCTGAACTTTTTGATCTGTTATGATTATAAACTGAAGCAATTCACACCATAAACTGGGTTTTAAATCGTTTTTTTGTGAAGTCCTACTTAGTATATAAGGAAATGATGAAAATTAACAAATGAAATGTTTCAAAAATTACATTTCTGCGAGTGCTGAGGGTGTTGCGATGGGGGGGGTCAAAATTACCCCCTCAGCGGTTCTAGGAGTAATGGAATGTTGGCGGTTCTAGTGTTAATGAGTGGCATCTGAAGTAAAAAACTGGGTCCAGTTAAGGACTTGCATGAAGTAATTTGCACAAAATGACAAGTCACACATCTTTATACAACAAAGGGGTGCAAGAAACTGCTATGTGAACTACAGTGAGGGAAAACTATAAGGACTATAGAGATTTCAGAGCACAGAAAAAGTTCCTCTAAAATGACCCAGCAGTTGTTCCACACACATTTCATCACTACTTCATCACTGTTATTTTATGTTAGTTGTGTCTCATATCTTTTTAAACGAGTCAAACATGCTTGTTGATCTAAAGTGATGATCCTTTATCGGAAGGATGTACTGTAAATGTGTGAAGTGTTTTACTCCTTGTATTCTCTGGATCATTCAGGTGCATACATCATTAAAAAACGTTCTGTTTTGGGGAGTCGTTGTATTTTGTACAACCCAGTGTTAGCAAGGGTAAAATAAAGAGTTAATGGGGGATGGCCAACACAACTGTCTGCAATGTGTACTGGAACTGATTGACAGAAAAACCTCCTTGAAATTTGTTTCTCAGTCATCCAAGTGATGGGGTAGTGAGAGGTTTTTTTTTGTAATGCTACAGCCTCTTGCCTCATTGCATCAAGTGCCTACAGAATTTGAGAGGTACGACTATGTTCGCCAAATTAAAGTCAATCAATCCAAGTCCAAGTTGAACCAGAGCATGAAGCGAAAACAAAGAAAGGCCGGTGTGTAGATTTCAGGAGACCGGCCTTCAACCAATGGCGACTAAGTGCACATACTTACGTAATTTAAAAAAGTTGCCACACGATTTCCAGTGCCTAATCTTTTGAAAGCATCAGGCTCATCTTTCTACGAAGATAAAATTCAAGAGTGAAAATACATGATGAAAGCACTGCTCTCCGACCCACGCGTACTTACGTAGTTTAGGAATGTAGCAAGTCTATTTCCGTCGGGATTCTTGTCAAAAGGAGGCTGCAACAGATGGTTAGACATGAACCCATCACTAAAAAGACATGGAATAGGAGCCCCACCACTAAGGGCACTGTAATAACACATTATGTGATAACACCACATAATGTAATGTAAACATAATGTAATGTGTTATACCTTTCCCTGCATTTCATATTAAATTATAACATATTGCATGTGTAAAAGTGTACCCATTTTATTCAATGCCATACTTAATTTTGACCCATTATTGTATTCTATCAGTACTAGTCATGCTCAAATGCATCAAATATGCATTGTTGTTACAATATTATAGCAATTTTTTTTAAATGAAGTCATCCATTTTTGTGTATTTTTACATACTCACTAGGGAAAATGAATTGTGTATGTAAAATGTGTAACAATCATTACAATATGTTATGATTTATAACAAAATACTTGGAAGTGTATCAATATAGTGTTTAGCAATTTCCTACAAATGCGGGTGTTATTACAAAATGATGGTACTATTGAAGAATATGTTGTTAAAGGTTAACTACACTTACATCCAATGTCATTACAACTTAATTTCACTAAATGTCACGCAAGTACAACTTAAAAGTTTTAAAGGAACATAATGCACATAAAACTACAAAAAGTTGACATGTAGCAATTCATTATTGTATAAGAAGATGCATAAATCATAAAGTTGGCTACTTCTTCAAAGAGGATCCTCAGAAGAAAAGACCATAAATCTAATAATCCATAAATTATCACTTTGTCATTTTTTCACCTCTGCTCATTATACATTAATGTACAAGAATCTTCTTGTTACATACAAGAAGATTCTTTAGCCAGCTGCACAATACATACAGCTATAGATCTTATGAAGACCATAGATCACAGATGGTTCCCAGCTGGAACACACAGAGGGAACAGAGCTGGGATCTCTGAGGGAAAGGGTCACTTAGGAACCTTTAAAGGATGGGGGGGGGGTATGAGTCCACAATGCACCAAGTTATACAGTCAGTCAACAAGCAGTGCAGATATTGTGACAGAGTTAAAACAAACATTACACAGATTTCAGATGATCAAACTCAGTGTGATATCTCTGTGGATATCAACACATATTGCAGTAAAAATAAATGGATGAGCAGGTAGATAAGTGACAAGACAGAACCACACTTTAACAACAGTTAACTTTAGTAACACTGAAATTAGGAGTGTAATCAAGGACAGATTAAAGAAAAGGTGGGAGAAAAAGAGGAGATGGTTTTAAGCATTTAAAAGAAAAAGTAGAGGAATAAGTGGCACAGGAAGAGCAGACAGTAATATTCAGATTAAGACTTGATTATTCACAACCAAACGGCGTAGTATTTTAAAAAGGAAAAGCCATGCTGTTGTCTAGCAGCAGTTTCATTGTGCTCTTATTTATTTGTCGGTTATTGTTGGGCAGGATTAAAATGTCCTGGCAATAACTGTATTTTCCAAACAACCAAAGACATTTTGAGTCTTCACACACTGCGAAAGGTAGGGTGATGGCGATGGAAGGCCATAAAGGTTAGAAGTGTACCTCTAAAATCTGCCAAAATAACCAAAACAAATGTTTTAAATGTTTATATATTTTTGGGGTTTTTTACAGCTGAAATGTCAGGAGTCAAATTGACACTAAAGAACACAGATACGTACAAAATGTATCCTTCACAGTGCAGAGGATACAATAATGGAAAAATAAAATTAAGGGTTTTGTTTGTTTTCAAGCAATTAAATCTTAGACAATGAGAGAATGTTCATACAAGTAATGTGATGTGCTCCTTATAATAAAGAGTACTAGACACATTCACTAACAGTGATCTTCATAGAAGTATTGAAACTAAAACGATCAATTTCCATACCCACCCACCCACCCACACCCACACTCACTCACACATGAACTCACCCTTGAGAAGTCATAGTGTGGCTCGTACTGTCCTCCAACTCCATAGTTAGCGACCTGGTCAGCCATTGACAAAGATGATTTAAACATTTTAATAATTGTTTTATATTATTATGCAAAAATAATCAGTTGATAACAAATATTTTTACATGATTGTCATCTTAATTGTAATATATCCTGGAATATACAGTAATTGCTAAATTAAGAATAATTGTTGTATACTTTGCTTGAATGTACAACTCTTCTTTGGATATAAACAGGGATAACATTGTTGTAAGAAAGTAGTTCCAGTGAGGTCTGTTGAATATCACTGACTGATTACATTACATATCCCACTACAGTTGGGCTTTTCTTAAATGTGATTTGTCCTTGCTTTAAATAAAACAAACACAATTCAGTTCACTTTTTTTATACTGCCTTGGATAAGACTTAACGGGAAGTTCTGAATGTGTAAACCTATCAGTTCACAAAAATCTAATCAAATAAAAAACTTTACCCTGCACATATCACTTTCATTTTAGTGAATAAAATCATAAGAATGGATGTCAGAATACTGAGTTATATGTGAAATAAGGGTGTGTTGATTAATGCAATGCGGTCTATTGTCCCTGTATGACTTTACCTGTAGTAACTCTGCAGTGTCTACTTCGAGGCCTGTGATGTCTTCTATTCTCTGGTTGACTCTGGCAATGACAGGGTCATCTTCCTCTTCTAACCATGCACTGGAAACAAAACATTAAAGTGTTCATGTATAAGCATATAGTACGATGCACAAACACACTTTAACGCTGATGATTGAGTAATTCAGAGCTCAGGCTGGACACTCAGGATTAGATCCTCAAGTTGCTGTGCTCCTGTCCTGCTCCTCATCAAATATCAGTCCTAGTATTTTGCTTAAGATACCAGATTTTAACAGATTGTCTACATTGCTTTATTATTAATAATAAAGCTTTATTTTGATAGCACTTTTCATAAACCAGCTCAAAGTCCTTTAACAGTTTAACAGTTTAAGGGACACAGGAGGTATAATCATAGAAAAATAAAAAATAATAAAATAAATAAGACAAAAACAATAAATACGATAAAATATAAAAAAACTCTAAAATAAATAAACCAATACAAAAATAAATAAAATAAAAACCCAATTAAGATAATACAGATTCAAAACTAAATAAATAAGAAGAATAATAAAGGTAAAAATAATAAATGCCTCAGTCGTGCAATAACTTGTCAAAACCATTTTGCCACCCGTAGCCAACTTGTAAATGTCCTAATGTAATTTTTTGTAAACGTCTATGTATTGCATAGGCCTCATCATTTTCAATTCTTGCAGTTAAACAAAAAAAAAGTTTACATGTGTTATCACCTTTTTATTTTAATGATTATAATTTTGATTGATTTAGTCTTTTCTTGTTAACCAAATTACTTCTTTATTCTGAACTAGTAGAATCTGAGCTTCCCTTTCAACAGGGACCGTTCACTGAACACTGCTGTGGAACTTGTTTTCTATACCAGTCAACCTGTCACCATGACAACCACCAGGTCAGGAGCAAGAAGACAAAATAAATCACACCTGGGAGTGTGACTCGCACACCATATGTGAGGTAACAAAACAGAGGCCTTAGGTCACATTTCGGAGGCTAAATGAACCATGCCTTAGGTTAGGACCTCCCCCCGCAGTTACCCATGTCTCAACACAGTCTGCAGGATGGACTCTTCTGGGAAACCTTGGAAGATAAGAATGATAGGGGCATTGTTTCACAAGGGACTCAAGGTGGAAGGATGGGAATTTGCACCCAAAAGGTACAGCATGGGAGCACACAGAGTTCAGAGGATGAGATGTGGTGCTGTTTCCCTTAAATCAGCTGCAGATGTTAGGGCTGTATCCTCCAAAATGTGCTGCCTGTGACCTGAGGCAGCCTCTACACAATCTTTCATTTGGTAAACATGTTTTCCTCTTAGGTCCACTGGCATCCTTCGCTTGAATAGATTGGCGAATAATTGCCATATTCAGTTCTCCGAGTTAAGTGAATCAAGCCTAAGTTAAATACCCCCTGAGAAAGCAGGACTTTCAGAATAGATGCTGCGATACAGTGTGACATCGCTTTTATTCACTTATTGCTCATAAACTCTTCTCAAGGCCAGGCTAAAAAAAAACGCGTTCAGAGTAGACATGAAGTCGGTCTCCTGCAGCTTCTGGGGTTTCCAATTACTCTGCTCACAAAGATATCCTTCACACAGGTCAGTATGCGATTAGTCAGCATGCAACAGGCACTTTCATCCCCTGCAAGCAAGGTAAATAAACTCACAGCACACCAAGGGGTGGCCGAGTGAAAAGCAGCTCAATAACTGACAACCACAAGCTCTAACTGACCAGAGGCCTGTACTACGAAGCCAGTTCAACCTAACCTGGATATGTTTGAGTTAGCCGGTTGGCCTAATCCAAAACATACGCGCTCTCGCTAAACGGTCCTACGACGCGGGTTATCAAGTGGATCGCTCAAGCCAGCCGTGTCCTATCTAGTTAGGTGCGCGTTCACATGAAAGGGGTGGTATTTGGAGCATTCGACCAATCACAAACATGGACAAGCGTACTGACAGCGCAGCGTCATACTTCCTGAATGAAAGGTCAACTATAATATTAGACATATGAAGAAGTTAAACTTTAAACATCCATGACTTAAACACTTTATCCAGGATAAAAGCCACATAGCTGCACCTGCAAGGTGAATACAGCTGGTAAAAGAAAAAGCGGTTGAATGCGTACATTAACAGGTTTATGATATCACTGCTACTAAGACACGATCTGACTTTAATTACATTTAACTCGAGTGTTTCGTCAACTTAATGTGTTGCTTAAAATAATACTTCTGCATACAGTATGTGACACTGTGAGTGTTGCACGGCCAGATACGGCTCAAGAAGCTGACTCAGATAAGGAAATATATGATACATTATGATGTGATATGATATGAATGATAATGGGACACATCGACGTCTGCACTCACAGTGCCGCGGACTGTACTTAATGTTACTCTGATCCGGTTACTTATGTTGTAGCAGATATTTAATTAAGCTTTCTTAACGCTAATGTTATAATAGTCAGATTGCTCTGAAGATGGGAGGGGATATTCTATTAATTTTCACGTTCACACAGTCTGTGATTTTTGCCGGCCGTCTTTCCTGCAACGGCAGCTTTTCTGTATTTCCTCTATCCTGTAATATGACTTGATAGCTTTAAACTCCGCACACTGAGCTCTGATTGGTCAGCAGGCAGTGCTTTCACTGAGTTGATCTCTTAGCCTGCAACCTAACTCAGCAGGTTAGCCGCTCAGCATAAGTTACCATGGAGATCTAGCCCGCTAAAAAGAGAACCAGCATCGTAGGACAGGCCTCAGGAGGAGAGACAGAGGGATAGTGTGTGTGTGTGTGTGTGTGTGTGTGTGTGTGTGTGTGTGTGTGTGTGTGTGTGTGTGTGTGTGTGTGTGTGTGTGTGTGTGTGTGTGTGTGTGTGTGTGTGTGTGTGTGTCTTTGTCTGTGACATACAGTACCAATCAAAAGTTTGGACACACCTTCTCCTTCGAAGGTATTTATTTATTTGAATTATTTTCTACATTGTAAATTAATACTGAAGACATCAAAACTATAAAAGAACACATATGGAATTATCTAGGAAACAAAAAAGTGATGAACAATCCAGAATATGTTTTATATTTTAGATTCTTCAAATTAGCCCCCTTTTGCCTTGAGGACAGCTTTGCACACTCTTGGCTTCTCTCAGTCAGCTTCACTAAATATAAATCATATTCTGGATTTTTAACTAGAATATTCCATATGGGTTCTTTCATAGTTGTTATGTCTTCAGTATTAATCTACAAAGTGGAAACAAATTAAAATAAACAAAAACCATTGAATGAAAAGGTGTGTCCAAACTTTTGACTGGTACTGTATATAGCAGACACGTCGCACCCACAGGTGTGACACATTCAGTATAATTACTACTGACAGAGTTATAGCCACAGATTGACTGGAATCAAAGAATAAGCACAGGTTTCACAGCAGAATGAGGATGTAGTTTGGGTAAAAGGCAAAGGCTAAATCCCTGAAGAACCTGGATTACACGGCAAATAGTATCAATACTAAATAAAAGAAAATCGGTTAACAGTAAGCCCTTTAATGCCGGTAATCCTCAAAAGTGCCTCCCAAAACCTTTTACCTTTTGGACACTCTGTAGTTGGCTGTGGTCAGGACGCCTGTTTTGGGGTCACGGACAGTAGCTCTGGCAAGCTTATGAAGCAAAAACAACACACAGATATACAATTATTGATGATTGTGTTTATCATAAACAGTACGCAGAAGAGTGTGTCCACTTATTCAATGTTTTAACATGTTGGTAAGTCTATATCAACATATTGCTGATTCAGACGCTTTTCTCTAAATAAACACCTTTTTATACATTCCAAATGTAAGAACTATTGCTATGTACAACTTATCTTTGATGTGTCTTTACAACAAAGAAACTGCACTTCATCACCTGACAAGCTCATGGCTTTAGGATGTTTTTGTTCTGAATTAAGTCTTAAATATCATGAAAATGTTGGTATTTTGTTTCCTTTAAAAGTACTAAGGTCACTGTACATGATTTAGTGTTGTGTCCTGGGTTAAGTGCAGAATGTTTAGATGTATTATCATTGATGTATTGCTTCTTGTCTCACCCTGGGTTTGGCCAGCTGCTTAATCCTCTCAGTCTCCTCGTGTGACAGGACCTCCAGGTAGCGTACGATGCGGGGGCTGTCCCACTCATCCTCCTCTTTCATGGGCTTCAGCAGGAGACGAGGGTTCCTGTTTCTATCCTGGTAGCGGCAGTACAAGCGGCTGCGCCTCACGTCATTCTGGTCAAACATACAAGATAAACAGAAACATTATGAAGAGAGGATTTACAGTATTTAGGAGAAGTGAAATCAGATTTGAAATGTCTGCCACACTACTGCTGGAATCTAATGTCACATGGAAAGGATTGACCTGGGAAGCCCGTGCTCACTTCAGGTGCACACATACAGGTTTTTATCAACATTTTGCTAGTTTGGAAAATAAATCCTTGTCCTGTATACTTGGTAACCTCAAATATTTCCCAGTAAAACGTCAGAGCAGAGCAGAACAGAGCTTTTATTAGCTTAAGTGGAACATTTTGCTATAAACACGCCACATCGATCATAGCTGTAAATGGGTTTTATCAGCCTTTTTTTCCCAGAATTGCTCGACAACCATAGAATCCGTCTTTGTGAAAGGGGTGTTTATGCCTGCAGTAATTGCAAGCTTGCTGTTATAACTGTCACTTTACTGCAGGTTTCTTAACATTGCTCTTGTATATTACATCAATTCCTTTATTTTGTTGTTGAAGCTCTAATCTAATGTCAAAATAGGTATTTGCTCACTTCAAATGTACACCTCAGAAAAGTAGGTAGAGATCTAGTAATTTTGACTTCCTCTTTTTATAATAGATTGTTTATCAATGAGCCTTTTTTTGTCTCACCATTCCGAGCCCCTCTCCTCTGCAGAGAGCTTCGTAGACGTCTCTCTCTGGGAGGTGGTCTTTGGGTCTGGTGTAGGTTCCCAGTTGGATGGGCTCCTCAGAGGGCGGCGGGTAGTCCTCCTGGTTCAGCTCGCTAAGCTGCTTGGTAAGCAAGCCCTCAAAATAACGCAGGTTTCCTCCTGCCCTCTGGTGGCTGGGATCTGCCAGTACAAGAAAATGTTGGTCATTAGTGAAACATTTCTACTCCGAAGTGGAATTACCTGTAAAGCAGAGGAGAAACTGTGTTGATGTTTACTATATGGCCACATTTTATAAAAGTGTTGTCCCTTTAATGTCTGTTGACACCATTTGCAGCTAAGAAGTTAGTATTAAAATAAAATAGGACTTTTATTTTTATAGCTTTGATAGTTTATTTATTTGACCTAGTACTGTATGCAGGGGCGGACTGGGACTAAAAATCAGCCCGGGACTCTCCACCGGCCCACCTCGGTACCGCAAGTAAATACCGCTAGGGGGGGGTGCTAGTGACTTATCCGACCGGCCCACAACGTCCGACCGGCCCACTTCAATAGCGGCCCATCGGGATTCGTCCCAAACGTCCCGATGGCCAGTCCGCCACTGACGACTGTATGGTTTAATTATGAATGAATTGAGTACAACATTTTGTCGACTTCATGAGTGTTATCTTTTAAATAAGCTTTATACTTTTACTCCACTATATCTCAAAAGACATATTGCACCTTTTACTCCTCTACTTTGATCTGAACAGCTATAATGACTATATAGAATAATTTAGCATTTGGTATATTTCGTTTCTTCTTCAACAGTTATGTTATTTAGTCACATTTATAAATGCAGGTCTTTGCTTAGCAATGGAGTAGCTGATGGTGTGCTTTTTGTAATGTTGAATAAAGAAAATTATCTTAATATTTCCCATGAGGCTAATCTGAGAGTCCCTTGTGTGCTTTAGATATTATTTGAGGTATTTAAGCAATTACAGAAAGTACAGAAAGTAGAAAAAGCACACCACCTTGTGGAGGTCTGTGGAAATGCTCATTAGTAATCAGGAAGGAAGGAATTACAGCAACATACTCTGCCCCTGGTTATTTTTATGTAGGAACAAAGCTGCCTTGTGTGTACCAAAGTTACAGTAAACATCAACAGTAAACAGAGGGTATCTTAAGTATCGACTTGCTGGACGAAAATGTGCATTTCATTATTTTTGTTGAAGGGAATTTCAGACTTCTGAAACGAGGATTCAATAAACAACATAAATGAGTATATGCTATTTTCCAACAGCACTGAAGTACACTGATTTAGTAACACACATTTGATCCTGGCAGTATAAACAGTTTTAAATAATGGAGACATGTTAAAGAAACAAACGTTGATGTCTGGATTAATGACTGTCTCTATGTTTACCAATATTTGTGTGGGTGACAAAAGTGCATTTGTGCTACCTCTGACTTGTATATGTTACATTTTTTACTGTACTTCCAGTTTTATAGTTTATTTTTTCTTTATCTTGACTGCACATTGCTTTCCTTTTTAGTTATATGTGCATTTTATAACTTAAAGGGGACCTATCATGCAAAATGCACTTTTGTACGTCTTTTATACATGAATATGTGTCCCCGGTGTTCCAGGGAACTCACCAAGTGTCAGAAAACACAACCCTCTCTATTTTCCTCCATACCCAAATCTCTAAAAAAGGGGCTGCAACGGATCTGATAAAAACTGATCCAGATTTGAACACTGTTCTGACGTCAGGACAGTGGCGCTACGGCTATTGGGCCAACTCTCCACCTATCAGGAGGAGACAGCCACGGCCATTGCCGTTCGAAAGCGCTGGAGACGCTGTAGTACATATGCCAGGCCAGTAGATGGTGCTGTTCTCACTGAATCTGCCCTTGCTAAAAACAGAGCTAGAAATGGTCAAATTGAGCAAAATGAGGCATGGCTAAAATGCATGATCTGTTTGGTATTTTTTTTTAAAAAAAGTATAAATATGCCTTATATAGGTATGGTCCTACACTATATTATTCAAATATAGCATGATAGGTCCACTTTAATGTCACTTTGGCAGCACTTGGTGTTATAAAGTAGGTCTAAGTCTGCTACATCTGCCTCGATTCATTTCACTTGACATGTAAACAGGCGTACTGCAGATCTGAAAGGATGGCCTGCAGCTGAATACACAGCCCTTGATGCAGATATCAGTTGAATCCGCTAACGTTCCCTATCGTATAGACCAGGGGTCTCCAACCTTTTTTAGGATGAGAACTACTTTCAAAAAATAAAACAAGTCGTGAGCTACTTTTACTCCTCTTTTTTTTGTTTTTTGCAGTGTATATATTTAGCACATTTTAACATTATGATATGCTGACCTTTAACCTTTGTGTGCTGTTTGGGTCTGTGGGACCCGTTTTCAGTGTTTACTAAAAGAAAATGTATGCAATTTAATTATGTTAACCTGCTTTATTTGGGGGTGGACCTCACCTCCTCTAGGGGGGTCCGGGGGCATGCACCCACGGGAAGATTGTTTTTTAAATGTTGAAGTGAAATGCATCAATCTGGTGCACTTTGAGCACAACATGAATTTATGGATACAGCTCTCAACACTCAGATGAAAGGGAGCTGTATACTTTTCAATAATCCAAACATCTTTAGAATATGATCACAACCAATAACAAATCATTTAAACGTGTTTATTCTTATCTTATGTTACCTATAGCATTCTTTCTTTCTATTTATGCATATTTTACTAATCACTCCCCTTTTAAACTGTTTTTAGTTTTTTTACTGTCCTATAGTACACATTGGAATGATTTCTTACTTTATTTTTTACAACTATATTAAATAGATAAAGGTGTGTTCTCTAGCTCTCTCGCTCTCTCTCTCTGTCTCGCTCGCTCACAGAGGCTGTGTGCTCCTCCGTGGCGATGACGGCTTGCGTTAAAAAATTATAATAAACATATTTGTAAAGTGGGGGGACACAAACGGGATTTTGAAAAGTGGGGGGGACATGTCCCCCCTGTCCCCCCTGTCCCCAGTGGAAATTACGCCATGCTTGTGTGTGCGTCAAGTGCAATAAATATATATGCAAGTTGCAACACACACAGTAAAACTCTGCCCCTCATGTGTTGTATAGGCTGGCATGACTAGGCTTTTTTCAATGGGGCTGATGTGTTGTGTAGATTCTGCTAGAAGGAAAATCACGGTCACACTCCTTATGAAGCGGTCAGGTGCCGCTCCACATTACTGTTCTTCCCAACTGCAACGCTGGTCCCGCAAATCAAGCAAGAACGTGATTGGAGCCCGAATAGAGGCCCTCTGTTTCGCGTGCGTCGACACGGGGGCGATGCTAGTGGAGCCTCCTAAAATAACAGTTACAAACCGCGGGCTCTTCCTTTGTATGGACAACACCCTGCTGCTATGGCAAGCCAAGAGCTCCACTGCAGTGAGAGGAGAGTGTACTGTAGACATTAGTGAAATAGCAAGAAGGCCACCTATCAATTACCCCATGGTGGAGGAGTGGTGCCTTATTGGTCAGCTCACTGGTGTCTGTATGTGTGTGTATGTGGGTTAAGTGATCTTTAAATACAGTTTCCCTTTTAGATTTCTAAAAATAAATTCCATGAACTCATTCACCCATCCCTTTTGGCTGCATAAAAGACTGACTCATGCTGAAGTAAATGAATGACAGATTTTTTGATGTAATGTGAAAGAGTGTGCACACTGATTTGAGCTTCTCGGTTTTGTCTGTACACTTTCCCATGTTGCATCTTACCAATAGCCACCAGTCGCCGTGTCAGCTCAATGGCTCGAGGTAGGTCTCCCATTTGGTAAACAGAGTAGCTGAGGTAGTCCAATATGTCGCCCTTGGCAACCTCTGTTTCCTCCGCAGCATCCAGCTGCTTTAGGGACTGCTGCATCCACAGCACAGAATGGTAATAGTCTGCGTCATTATACGCCGTCTTCCCCATATCGAAGCAGTCCTCCACTGTCAGCATGACATTGGAGTGAATACCTGTGGCAGAATTCAATACATTAAAAAGCAGACAATATTGTGCAATATCTTTACCTACCCAAGATCATGTTCTACACGACATATTTGTATGATTTCATTGATTAGTTTCTTAGCATTATTTTTGTATATGCAATATTTTGGGTCTAAATTAATCTTTTAGGAAAAAGTATTATACAATTATTATTATTATTATTAGAAAAAATCTAAATATAATGTATCCATCCTGGGTATATATACACATATATATATACATACATAAGATTTTAAAGGCAATCTCTGTACAATTTGAGGGTTTCGTACTGTTGCAACACCAAGTAGTATAAACCGCTAAACCTTACTGGATGAGAGTCATGTAACAAATAAACGCAAACTTAAGGAACAATGGATTCAACATGTGTCTGTGTATGATGCAACTGTAACTGAGTCATTTGTAACGAACAGAACCAAAATATTAACCCTAAAAGAATCCCTTAATCTCCAACCCCACCTTTAATTAACAGTAACTTTCAATTCAAGCCCTAACCCTTGGGAGTGAAGTGAGGACTCCTCAACTTCACCTCATTTCACAAAAATGTTCCATATCAGGAGGGCCAAAACCCAAACTACTTATACACACAATAGTGTTTATACAAAATAAACAAACCATTAATATAAAATGCTTATAGGTGGGTTCAGTGAGCCTTCCTGTCTTTCTTGCAGAAATGTACACACTGACTCTATCCTCTTGTGTACTCATGTTCTCTCGTTGGTTACCTGGCAGCTTTCCTTTGGAGAAGGCCTCAGAATCCAGTTGGTACGTGTCCTGAAGACGCATCAGCGCCTTGGCTGCACCCTTCTCATCCTCCTCATCTGGGAAGAACTGCCTGTGTATGGACATGTTGGAAATGAACCCTGAGAAGACAGAAAAGAAAAGGTTAGGCTGGCAATGTCAGGATGGAAGTAAATTAATGATTTAGTAAAAAAAACAAGAATGACATCCAGCCTGTTCATTTTCATCTTTGCTATAACCTAGTAACACTAAAGCTAACTATTTACTGTATAGTTAAGTATATAGTGCAACAAGGATGTTGTATTTTACCAAAAAAAAAGTTAGAATATACTTTGTTCAAATGTGCGATTTACATTTTATTTCATAATCCAATCCAACTTTATTTATAAAGCACTTTAAAACCTCCAGACCAAAGTGCTGTACAGAGAGATACATACAATATAAAATCACACAGCTCAGCTCACAAAACATAAAAATAAGTATAAAATCACATAAAAGATACGAAACACAAAACAAACCAGAATAAACGTAACAATTACAAAATAATTAGTGTTGAAAAAACAACCTACTCCTAAAGCCAGGTTAAGACATAATGCAAGCACACAGGGAAGGTTGTATTCTACTTAAAGGTCCCATGTCATGGCCATTTCCACTGATCATAATTCCATTGTTGAGGTATACTAAAATAGATTTATATTGTGCATTTTTCCAAACTCACATTGGTTTCTCATACAGCATCTCTGTAAACTACTTGTATTCACTGAATTTCACTCTCTGCCTTTAACGGCTCGTTGTAGGTCCCAAAGCTCCAGCCCCCACCCTCCCTGTGAGCACAGTGTGCTCTGATTGGTCGGGACGTTGTGAATTGCGCTGAGCTCCGTGGAGGTGTGGTTTCCTTGTTTAGCGTACTTTGAGGGTTTTTGACTCTGCAGACCGTTTACATGCATAAAAACCTTCATAACACACAAGGGGACGGGTAATAACCGGAAAAGCATGACATGGGACCTTTAACATCAAACATGATAGGAGGAAATGTGATCTAGCATTAAACTCCTACAACTGAGTTTAGTTAATTGATTTCAGTCAATTATCCTCTTACGCTAAAGTAAAATATAAAAGGTGTTGGTATAATTCATCAAAATTAAATGAATTTAATAATAAAACTGCAAATCAACCATTTGCTTCTAATGGATATGTCTCTTTGTAGTCTTTGTCTTTCTTTTCTGCTTGTGTTTGCAGCTAAAATTAGAAATGAAAACAAAGGTTGCAACTGCCATTGTCAATATCTTTGATGTACTGTATTCATTCTAATGACCCGCAGTTAGTACACACTTCACAATAATCAGAGCATCTATTCTGAACAACATTATATTTCTTATAATGCCTACACAAATAAAGCACATTTAGCCGAGTGTCTTGAGCAATGTGCATTATTATCATGTGTGTTCTTTCATATTCCTCAGATTCCATCATTAGATATCACCATCTGCTGCTGTAAATCCTGGGAAATCAAGGGCTGATGTTACATTTTCATTAAATATGTTTCTATACATGCTCTGTGGTATTCAGCAGAGGTATGTGTAATCTTCTAATCTTTCAAATGACCGTGTTATGAAAGAGGCAAACAATTCATATGGGAATGCATGTTCTTTACAACACTACCTGCTTATGTAAAATAATTAAACATACTAAATCCAAATATTGTCTTGTACAGTATATGCTTATGTTTATAAGGTTTAAATCTAGGTCTCTTTCACGCTCTTTCTCTCTCTCTGACTCATCGCCACATATTCAGTTAATCTCGATGACACATGCATGCTTAAGCTATCTGCCTCCCACACACACAGGCTTCCAGGTCCAAACAAACACAAAGAGAGAACATGTCCAACATATGCGGAGATGAGGAACAGCTGGAGCTAAAACATGACGGCCTCGTTGCTCTCTGTGTTTATTCTGGAAGTATTTGAGCAGAGCAGTTCAACTGAAAATTCCTCCCTGCAGTCCAGGCTGTAATCACTCTGCTCACATCCACGCTGGATTAGAGATACTGTTCACTGCTTGCTTTGTGCTTGTGCTGAGAGTCCGATAAAGCAAGTGTTGAATGCTGCCCTTCAGACGCATTATACGGAGTGAAGAGATAATTAGACATGGTATGAATGCATACAATGTCAATGGCATTGGAAATATTACCAGATGCATTTTTGCAAAGGCAGCATAAAGTAATGCAATTACATATCGGATCTGGTTTAAGTAGTTTCTGCTTGAGCTTAATTTCAGTTATTTTCAGATGTTTCGCCAGTAAATGCAAAGAGAAAGGAGAAACTCCACTGGATGATAATAATACAACTTTTATGATACGCTTTCAAGCTGGCATAGCTCGTTTCACAGGAAATGTCTATAAAATCCCAGCCAGGCAAATAAAGCAAGACATTTTTCTCCTTGACTGATCTATCATAACAATGGTATTATAACTAGTGCTGTCAATCTTTAAAATGTAATCATTTGTGACAAATGATGATTTAAAATGTTACGAAAACTGGCACATGCTTCGGCAAAATGCCCTTTTCTCAGTTATTCATCATCTGTCTGCAGGAGTTATGGTGAAGGTAGTGATGGGTCTTACTGGTGTCCAGTGGTCTCAAGTCAATGCATGTGTCTTGTTCTTTCGCTATCTTTACCTTTTTAAATCCATGGGATTCATAGTAAACATCTAGGCTGCTAGTACAGGAACAACATTGGGTCAAACTTGGTGATGTGATTGATTTGTGTAATTGTTTTAAACGTAATTGCGAGCATTAGTATCACATGGAGATCCAAGCAAGAAGAAATCACACCACTCTAGTCCAGCTCCACTCCTTCCTTCCTTCCTTCCTTCCTTCCTTCCTTCCTTCCTTCTTTCCCTCCCTTTCCCCCCTCACCTTCAGAGGGGTTCTGCAGCACCAGGGTCTCCAGCTCGGACCACTCTGTGTTGAGCCTCTTCATCAGTTTGTAGGCGTTCACTGGGTGGGCCAGGTATCCCTCTGGGTCTGAGGTGGACAATCTGGTCAGAGCCTCCAGTTTGTTGGCCCAGCTATGAGACAGACGGACAAGATGTTGTATTCTTTACCTCTGATATATGTAATCATGTGTAACCACAGAGTCCACCTCCTCTCTCCCCACCAGAGTCATCCTCCCATCAATCATCTTACCTCCTCTCACGGTCATCTTCAATTGAGGAGGGACTGACTCCAAGTTTAGGAATCACCAAAGTAATCTATCAAACTGAGTTTAAATGCAGTATATCAGCTCGTCACTGTAAATGCTATCCATATTGGTCTTTATTCGTGTTATGTCGACAAACCGAGATACTGTTTAATAATGTTGGAAAATAACATTCTTTATGGATTACAGCGTCAAATTCATCTCAAGTTATTCCACATATTATACCTATAAATCAAATCTATTCAGCAACAGTCATAACACTAACACATCTGTATATCTCCATATCTGTTCAGGAAGAGATTTGTTAATAATAAAAGTCTTTAGTGGTTAAAACTGCAGAAACTGTGCTCAGTGTTTCTAACTTGAATTACCCTACCATGTTACATCATGTTCTCTTATGTTCCACTGGTTTCATCTTTGACTATGTGTTTTGTTTTATAAACCCATCGTAAATGTTTTATTTTTAATCTAAATCTGGGAAGTAAATAGTAATCTGAAACTCAGTCAACTGTAGTAGGAAACAAAGTAAACCTATTTCCTATTAAATGTAGTATTGAACAAGCATAAATGAATGGCTAAAGGAGTTTAACATGGAAATAATCTAACAAACAACAGTTTTTTTTAAATTGTAATCCAGTACAGTACTTGAGCAACTCATTTAGTTGTTGTTTGGGTTGTTGTCAAGTAACAGGGTTTAAGTATACCTTTTGATGGCAGAAAGTTTGGACTCCTCTGCTTTTATGTATTCACTCAGAGACTGGACCAACTCTTTCTCCGTGTAGATCAGGTCCGTCATTTGGCCTGCAGAGAGAGAGAGAGAGACGAGAGAGAGAGAGAGACGAGAGAGACGAGAGAGACGAGAGAGACGAGAGAGACGAGAGAGACGAGAGAGACGAGAGAGACGAGAGACACGAGAGAGACGAGAGAGACGAGAGAGAGAGGATGAGGAAGGGAGGAGAGAGAGAGAGAGAGAGAGAGAGAGAGACACTGAAGGTGAGTGTGTGAGGTGTCACTAGAGATAACATCAGCATCACCTTTGTCTCTGTATTTACTTACATTTGTTTAAATTACAATATTTTTTCCTTGCAAATCCCATGCACACATGAGCCCATGCAGGAGATGAACCTGAACTTTACAGACTGCATGTTAACCGAAGTTAAAATAAATTCTCAGCCACAAACAGCTTTTAATTGTATATAATTACTCAGCAAACAACAGCCAGGCATTCCTCCATGAGCCTTTGAGTGGAGAGTGTAAGGCGCTGTTTACACGAGGAGAAAACTGCTTGTATCTGCATAGTTTCGCGTGCGTATAGCCCTATTATTTACACGAGGCCGATAGAAACGGACCCCACAAACGATAACGGGTCCCAAGGTGGATAGATTTGCAAACGAAACGCTCTGGGGGGTCAACCGAGTCCGTGTAATCACCTCTATACGAATATTTCCTGAAAAAATAACGATAGCCCCACCTCTCCCCACCTCTCCTGCTCACTGCTGTAGCATGGCCAGTTGCCATCTGTAACGATCAACTATCAAAAATAGCTGTGTTAATTAAACGCACAAGGGGTTCTTGAATGAAATAATATTATAAAAGGCAAACCAGAATTGTTAACGCCCAATATACTCCTTAAACAAAATAAACAGAGTCAGATTTCATGCATTGATCCATTATATTGACAATTTTCCAGCCAAACAACACAAACAAAATTAAACAGTCCGCTCTGCGATACACCAAACTTGTCTTTACTGCCTAATCCAGGCCATTATTGTTCATTGCTCCTGCGCCCGTCGGCGGCAAAAAGAGAAATGTTTGTGTCCGGCGTGTCCCAGAGGAGCGATCTCACCCGGTGTTTGTAGAGAATATCTCTCTTTCTGAGCGCGTCCTCTCCACGGAGACGTGCTTCTTGGTCGGTCGATGCAATATCCACAGATTCGGTTTCTTTCAGTTAACTTCCCCGTTGCATTTATCCATATGCTGAGGAAATGACTATATCCCGCTGAATACCAGCAATCGCCACACACACTTCCTCCTGTCAGTAGCTACTGCTAGTGCTACTGCTACTGACCATGCTACAGATATTAGTGCAAAATCTACAGCTCCTCTACCACAACCATCAGCAACAAGTGGACATGGAGAATTACATGAACTACATGTTGCTAAATCCACCGCGGGGCATAAACAGAAGGGTAGCCATGGCAACATTGCTGCGGGGCTGCTCCGGGGTCTTCTTCGCTGCTTTTGGTGTATTTTGTGGCGGAAGTTACAGCGCCACTTACAGTCCCGGCATATGTACTACAGCGTTTCCAGCGGTCTCGTTTGAACAGACACGTTAAATGAAACGAATGCATGTGAACGGAAGACTTTTTTGAATAAGCATACTGTGCATAAACGCAAACGTTCCCGTGTGCACAACGCCTAAGTAGCATCTAGAACACTTCCATGAAAACACTGAGCCATCATAAATATTCATGGGGTTGCCAGGGAGGAGGAATAAGGAAACACTTTCATCGATTCTGAATCAAGGGTATTCAAATGACTAATACAATGAGCAATGTATACATAGCATAATATGCAGTTTTTATAAATCACTGATCCGCTCACATACTAGATATAGGAATGAATTGGACAAAGGAAACATTTTGGGGGATATTTGCATGATTGCATTATTGTTTATTGTAAAAGGTGGAGAAAGATATTTATATTTGACCAGCATAAATCATTCGGATGTTTTTTCAGCATTACGCCCAAAACTTTTTTACAAATTCTATTTAAGGAGTAAGTGGACCACAAGGATTTCTCTTAAATGTTTTTTCAGTTTTATTCAAAATAAATGCAGACTTAACGGGCCTCTTCACCACATCCTCCTTCTAAACATGTTTTTTATGGGAAAGTGAAGACATACATTCCTGAGCTGCTGATGCCCCTATTCAGGAAAACAGTCAATCAAACTATTGTGATTATGACTATTAGAAAGCCTAGTTTAAGTTGTTTTTTCAAATAACTAAAATGAGATGATGTGCATCCGGATTAAATGGGATGGAAAAAAGGTGACATAATTACATAAAAAAAGTCTAATTTTATTTTAGCAGTGTTCTCCATCAATGCATCATTAATTATTTTGATCACCATAGGAGTTGAGTGTTGCTTTCATGGAAACATGCATGTTATTATCAGCCTTCTAAGTTCAATATACATATTTATAACTAAGTACCACAATGTCACCTTTTAAATGAAAAGCATTATTGTAATAATTGGGATTTTGAGGCACACTAATAATAATAACTTGGATCTACATAGCGCCTTTCAAGGAACCCAAGGAAGCTTTACAATAGGACGAGGGGCCGTAGGGGGGACAAAAAGGAAAACAGTCACACAACAGGGACGAGGAAATAAGATGATAAAAAAACAGATTGAACAAAGGCTAGAGGAGAAAGTTAACTGAGACTGAAGGCCTTGACTAACACATGTGTTTTGAGTGCTTTTTTGAAAATGTCCACAGGGTCAGCAGTCCTGATTTCAAGGGGGAGGGAGTTCCAGAGGTTGGGGGCTGCAACACTGAAAGCTCTGTTGCCAAAGGTTTTTTGTTTGGTGTGGGGGAGGGAGAGCAGACCTGTATCAGAGGACCGCAGATGTCGGGAGGGGGTGTAGGTGGGCAGGAGGTCGGTGAGGAATGAAGGGGGCTAGTTCAAGGAGAGATTTATTAGGTGAGGAGGAGGAGTTTGTAGAGGATGTGGGACTTGACCTGGAGCCAGAGGAGGGGACGGAGGGTAGGGGGGGATGTGCTGCCAGGCAGACGAGAGGTGATTTGAGGCGTGAATAAGTGTTTCTGCTTCTGGGTCGGGAAGTGAGGGCCGTAGTCTTGATATGTTTTGAGGTGAAACAAGGCGGATTTTGTTATGGACCGGATGTGGGAGTTGAAAGAGAGGGTGGGGTCCATAATAACACCCACACTGAGTTAAGAAACTCCCCTAATTGACCAAAGGAAATATGGAAGGAGAATAATTGTACATTTGCACATAACAATCAAAACGTACTTATGGAAGTGAAGATCTCTGCCTGTGTTGTCCAGCAGCAGCAGAGCAGAGCGCAGAGGACGAAAGACAGGAACTTCCTCATTCTGTCTCTTTCTATAACCTGCAGGGACAAACAGAATCACATCCTGTCACAAAAGATTCACACAATTCAAGCTCATTTTCCTGTTACAATTATAAAGCATTAGCCGTTTTGAGTCCCTATAGTAGTATGGATAAGGTTTTGCATATAGTCCTATTATTCTCAATCACCACATTCAACAGAAGCTGTGGAAAAGTCCAACCGTTTTTCTTTTTAATATTCCGTTTCTCTACTTTTAAACAAATGATACCACATCACCTTCTAATACTTGCAGTTAAACTTTCCCAGAGTCAACAGTTCATAGCAGTGATGGTGTGTTTCCGAATTAGATGATTGTCCCACATTATTCAACGTTTCCAGTATGTTTCCTGAAAGTGAGTCACTACTTCTTCTGGGAGGCATGCTGTCATAGTAACCTCCTGGCCCAGTTCTCATTTAAAAGAGTTTAAGAAAGGACGATATGGGAAAATAATTACATTTTCGGGAAGTATGTCTAGGTTTCACATAAGAGACAGAACCATGGACAAAAAAGGAATAAGGCCAATGTACAAACATCTGGTTCATGTAAGGTCAGTAGAAGTTAATTTCCCTTTTTTTGTTTCCACAAAGGAGTTCAACCAAGGACAAATTGTCATGACTAAGGCCATAACTTTATAAAACTCTGTGTCCTTTGATTAGATTAGATTCAACTGTATTGTTATTGCACACAGAACTGAGACAATGGAAATGCAGATCTAACCAGATGTGCAAAAAAAGCAGTAAATTGCAGTGTTTTTTTATAGTATAATTATACGAGAATATGCATACGACACACATATAAAAGTTAAAGTATATACAGCATGGACAGTATATATGGTTATAAACACTACGAACAGTTGAATACAAATAGAATACACCTTAAAGGTGGATTAAATATAGACAGAATAATATAGACATTTTAGAAAAAATATGAATGCGCTACAGACTGTTATTGACCCTTATATTAGAAACAGCAGTTGTACAGTTTTAAGCATAAATAGGATAATAGTGATATAAACCACAGCTTAGAAGTAACTCGCTTTTAAAACAAGTCACATCCATTAGTTAGCAGGCAACATCATCATTCATTTAGTGTGAGTCCAATATTGTCTCTTCTTTTTGCTCTGTTTTTGGTCTTTGCACCCCCTACGAACAAAGCTAGCTCTTCAGATACCTCATTCTTCACTTTGTTAACCAGCAAGTCACTAACTGTGTCAAAACGTGTGTAACATACCCATCAAATGTACAATAAACAAGCTACATGGTTGATATGGAGCAGACAGCCCTAGTTCAAACAGCTGTATAAGTCTATTGTTTCAAAGGATAGAAGCAACATTCACTTTGTGGACTTTCAGCTGCTGTAGAGCCAACTACAGAGCTAGATTTGAAAAAGCTGGACTGAACAATGATGTATCACCTGGCAGAAAGTCTCACAGTCCAGCCCTCAAACCAGCCGTGATCTAAGAGGGGAAAGTGACACTGCTCCACTTTCTTCTCTTGGATTTAGTCTAATCCTGCATCACCACATCACTTCTCACTGATGACTGTTTACTGCTGCCTTCGTAAAGTGTGCACATACACATAAAGCCATACTTCCCCATGTAGGACTACACACACACATACTACTGTATGCACCGCTATCTCATCAAAGGCTTAGCGAGACGGGGGTTCTGAAGTAGAAAAGTGGCACCTTCATTTTAAGTGTGGCAATAGCTTTGAGAGGAATCTGCTTCAGGAGAAAAGACATCATTTCCCCTTCATGACACCTGCGGACAAAATACAAAGTGACTTTTTATTGTTGCAGATCAAAGATCGCATAAGACAGAAACTTATTTTAAGCCTTAAGCCAAAAGACGCTAAGAGATCAGCATAATGTCTACATAGGAATAAGCCATTAACATCTACAAAATGTTCCGGACAAAATGCACTTTATACTTCAAGGAAGATATGCCAATTATATAATAAGTGTTAGGTGTATTATTTGTAAAGTCCTTTGTATAAACAAACACAGTCAGATGTGGCTTAAATGCGACAAATTAATCTGCTAATGAGGCAAATAACAAGATATGCCTTATGGTAGAAACCAACAGTGGGTGTTTTTGGTGCAGGGCTGTAAAGTGGCTTTAAAACAATAAAGAAGTCACTATGTTTCCCAAAATGTTTTATAGATGTGCCTCAAAATGAACTGCTGGAGCATCCTGTGCTAAAAGAAAATGGAATCACTTTTAAGAAGAAATAAGGAAAGGCAGAGAACTTCATCAATGTTACAAATAATTCTGTTGAAAAGAAAGGACTTCTGTCTTTAGATAAGTTCAAGCATTAACAAGTATAGTGAGTGTTTGCTGGAATGTACCACATTGGGAGTTGGACTGGACCAAAGGTCTTAGAGCATCACACATTTGGTCCTACTTTCTTGGCTTAAGAGTAAAAACGTTTTATATGATTTCTAAACATATAGAGAAGTCATTCTGTCTCCTGACATGATGAAGGAGAGCTGCAGGGCTGTCCTAACTTGTCGGCAGCAGGCAGGGAACAGCAGCCACGCTTACATACAAAACAATGCTACATTCAGATATAATCACACCTCCTTAAAGATTTTGAAGTCTTATTTTTACTGACTGAAAACTAGACCTGCTTTAAAAAATGTCTGCCAGTTGTCCTGAATTTATCATAAGAAAATAGAGCCACAACTAGCCTCTCTTGCTAAGCATATTCAATAACTATCCACTACCTCACATGATTGTTATAAAAGATGAAACACATCATGTGGTTATGCATGCTTGATCATTTTGGATCAGTTGTCTTGGGTGCACCGCATGTGGCAAACAGACAATCCTCACCCATGAAACCAACATCAGAGCAAAAGCATCGACTAAAAACCACCTAGCATTTACTGTCTGCAGTATGCTTTCCATGTATTAAATCTAGCTTTTGCTGCATCAATTTGCCAAGATTCACCCATACATTGTATGTGTTGACTGTAAACCAGAACTAGAAAAAAAAACACCAAAGAACATCACAGGTGTCATTTTAGTGCAAAAACTGTGATATAAGCCAAACTACTTTGGAAGAAAAACTAGAAAGCTTCATAAATAGCTCTAAAATCTCAGGGAAATTGTTTCTTACTGGTAAAACTTTAGCCTACAGTGTCTTACCAATAAGTGCTTTCGGTTTGGTAAATGAGTACCAGCCCAGAAAAGTATTACCGTGGTCCTAAATTACAAATAACAGGACCAAATCTCTCTCCTTGTAATTTACAGCCTGTGCGATGGCTCAGCCCAAACACAGCCAGCCTGTTGTTGAAGACTGCAACACCCCTGCCACATTCCTGGAAAGAGGCCAGTTCCATGGACAACCCCACGTTCCACACTCCTGACCCCTGGCCTGGCAAATGTAAGGAACAGCAATGAGGACAGCGAGGATATTATATGACGGGTCACAGGAGGACAGGCCCAGACAGCTGTATTTTGAATATGGACAGTACAACACGTCCTTCTGTGCTGCAGAGCTGTGTTCTTAAGCTCAAAGGCAACAAGGATCCTCCCACCGTTTCTCCAAAATAAAACCATGGAGGTCAGTTAAATGATCTTAAACACAACCTTACTGGAGGAAAGAAACGTACCCATTCTCCATACTTAGTGCGTAATGATGACCACCACCCACAGGAGATCCTTTCAAGTCAAATACTGGGTTCAAGTTGCTTTAGAATGGGGGTGTGGCTCCACATGAGAGATAAGAAACCACAGTAGCTCTCTGGCAAAGCAGGAAGGATCCAAGGTCTGCACTGGAGCAGGGGTTTCTGAGTGCTTACTTTGACAGTAATCTTTCCAACATCTGTAGTTGAACTCATCTTCTTTCCTGTTTCGTTTATCACTCTGAGAGAGAAAATCCTGGCTGGTACCACCAACAGCTGCCTGGTGTACACAAGTGCCAATCGGGGGAATTGTAAAAAAAACATTTTTTCCGGTTTGGGGGAAAGCAGATAATAACTTATGTCAAGATGTCGGAAATCAGCTGAAACATAAAACTGATCTTTTCTCATCCTTTTTATTCCTGGAGAGTTTGAAGAGTATAATTCAATATCAAAACCAAATAATAGCAAATACTGATGTGAGTAAGAGAGCATCAGCAAGACAACCGAGACAAATGGGTCACTGCTAACAACTCTTTCAGACTTTTTAAAGCCTTGAATTATTGTAGGAAATGTGTCAACTCAACTTGGCTTTTTATAATCACATCTTCCGAACATATTTAAAATGTAGTAAATTGGATAGTTGGGTGGATTGGGATAAAGAAGACAATGACAATGAAGATACTGGTGATACTGGAAAAATAATCATGTAAAATGTTCAATTTATGAACATTTTAAACAGATCGCATGTTGACCTATGCAACTAAAAGCTAATTCCCAGAGCATATATAGAACTATTTATATCAGTTCCATTTAACAGAGCCAACAAAGACACACTTTCAAACCAAGGATTCCAACTCACTTAGCCTGGTGGCTTTTCTTGCTTGCAAAGGCATCATAGCACTTCACATTGTTACTTCATTACATTCAGCAAAGACCAGGTATGTCAAGTATTTTATTATAACTACAGTCAGGATTAAGAAAGCAGTTGCGTGCCATAAAACCTAAGTCATCATTTTTGAGAGGAGATGGTTGCCAGCTCTTCTACACAAGTGTTGCACTAAGATAAAGCATAGACGGTTGATCCTAAACAGGCATTTTCTGACCGATGTTAATCAGCAGGAAGGGCTGGCATGTACCCAACAGGCATAGACAAAATATGGGCACACAAAGTCCTGCCAACACTGGTGTGCAGATTGCATATTTTATATAATACACCACATACGTGCAAACGTCAAATATCCACAGGCTGTGAACATGCTCAGACAATTCAGAGAGATTTAACTTGCATCACTAGCAAAGAAAAAGAATCAAAATTCAAACTTGAAACGTGTCATTGCAATTACACTAAACTCTTCTTACTTCAATAAAAACCTGTTACAGATCATTATATATTCAAGATCTTTGGCTTTGCGGACAGGATAGTGCATTTTTTATTAATTATTTGATAAGACAGCAGATTATCTGAGTGGTGGGTCTCTGCTTAGTGTCAGTTTTTTTGTTTTGTAGCAATTCTGCAACTTCATACAGCCAGCATAAAAAAAAATATCACTGTCCCAGCTCTGACACATCATAAGTGAGCATTTTCAACATTATCTTAGCTGTGAACTACACAACATATAGTTTTGCTCTGGACAAAAGCTATACCAAATGAATGTGTACCCCTATAAAATATCAGGGAGGACACGGTTAAAAAAAAATCTCTAAATATAGTAAAGGGTTCAAATGATTTCCAGGTGTAGGTCCAAGATTCCTGCTGACCATATGTGGTTGACATTAAGGACAACTTGTTTCAGATGCTATGAAAGCTTAAACATCTGCAGCTACAATGCAGCTTAAAATATGAAAGATGTATTTTTTCCTTCAGAGAAAACCTTTTCTAAATGTGTCCCAGACATGACTAAACATCCCAACGTGGCAGAAAGACTGAGTAATTTATTACCAGAATGCTGTGTTGCAAAGATGTTCATTTTAACCTGGTATGAGCTCATTCATACCGGTGTCACTGATCACAGAGCGTGAGCCATATGTTAACATAAAGAGACAGACAGGCTTGAAGAAGCATGCATTAGTTTACATAAGCAACACACACACACACACACACACACACACGTTTTATGTGCAAGGGTAGTCAAACACACCATCCTCTTGCAAAACTTGTTCTGGTATGCAAACACTGAAGCCTCATATAAACAGAGTTGGGTGGTAATAATATTACTTTTGTCGGTAACGGAGTAGTGTAACGCGTTACTTTTATAATTCAGTAATCACACTACAGTTACTAACATTGCCCCGACACGCGTTACTTCGTTACTTTTATAAAATCTGTCATAATCACACTGACAGACAAGAGGGGTTTCCGCCGCAGGTTTATATGTACATAATCTGCGCGACTTGCGCGTCCACATATCCACGTGCAGTGCTGCATAAACATGGCAGAGTCAGCGATAACTTTCGAGGGGTGGAGGTATGCCCATTATTTTGAGTTCGTCCGAAGAATAGACAGGAATGTGACGGTGAGGTGCAAACTGTGTCCAGGCCAGAAGCTGTTATACACTGCTGCAAACACCACGTCAAACCTCAACAAACACCTGCAAAGAACACATGCTAAGGTGAAGCTAATAGCTAAGGACCGGACCCCCGAACCCAGAGTGAGGATGTTGTGAGTCGCCGCCGCCGACTCCGAAGCGGCACAAATTAGAATTTGAAGGACCGGTAACCAAAGCAGAGATGGACAGGCTTGTAGCATCCTTCATAGTAGAGGTAATGTTGCCCATTTGCACAGTGGAATCACCATCGCATCGTTCAGAGATATACTGCGCAAAATACAGATAGCAGGAGACAGAGGACAGCCATAGTCAGAGCTATCTGGATCAGTCTTATGCGACAATGGAAACTGAACTAAAGAGAACATTTGAAACTTTAGCAGTCTGCGTGATCTGCCTGTAGGGAGGGGCGGGCCGGCCCTGCGAGTAAAGTAACGAGTAAAGTAACGAGTTACTTTATGTAGAGAGTAACGAAGTAGTGTAATATATTACTTTTTTTTTAAAGTAATATGTAATATGTAATATATTACTTTTTTTTAGTAACGACCCCATCTCTGCATATAAATAAGGTTTTGATAAATAAACCAGACATTTAGATAAGCATGGCTTCAATATTTAGAATAAAAAGACACAACCAGACTCGGGCACTTAAGGCAAATGAAATGTATAAATGGAAGGGGGAAGCATCAGACGGAGACTCACACAACTTAATAAAGCAGTTCTAGCAATCTAGCAAGACATCAGTGTCTTTAGAGTGCATGTCACCTGCCTTATAGCCCAATTACTGCTGACAGATTTATGACATCCCTCTATTTGGTGCCCTCCATTTATGCCCAACCTAATGGCTGCCATTTCCCATTACTGCCATTATACTACACATAAATCACTGCAGGGCAACATTTGCCTAGCGTGCATGCAACCTTTTATTCTGGGGATGTGTGTACAGTGATATATTGTGGCATTTGACAAGGGTGGACGAAGCCTATGTCTAGTGTGCTAAATATAAAATAGTCAGCAACATGTCTTTCAAAAGCCAGTGTCCTCTTACTCTGAACCATCACCACAGCTCAAGGTTGACACACGTTTTAGTTGGGACTATTTCTTTGGTAGAAAGTAGTTCCAATAAAAACATATTGCCCCTTACTCTGAACCATCACCACAGCGAACTGTTGACACACGTATTATTTGGGACTATTTCTTTGGTAGAAAGTAGTTCCAATAAAAACATATTGCCCCTTACTCTGAAACATCACCACAGCTAAAGGTTGACACTTTTTCTATTGGGACTATTTCTTTGCTAGAAAGTAGTTCTAAATAATAACATATTGCCCCTTACTCTGAACCATCACCACAGCTCACGCTTGACACACTTTCTTATTGGCACTATTTCTTTGGTAGAAAGTAGTTCCAATAAAAACACATTGATATGATGAGTAAACCGACTCATCATATCATTAATGATATATGATATAAAACCTGACAGATTTGTAAAGTGTGGTTAGGTAACAATGGTAAGACATCACTAAAATTGTCACAGAAAAATACGACTTTGCCCTGCGCCTTGCCTTGCAGACCCCGACTCTGCTCACAGCTGGATAGTAGCCGTCACCGGGACGTCAGATCGTTGTTTCTAGAAATCCCCGAGACTTTCAGCTCTTTCGGAATCGGGTCTCATGTATGTCTTTGCAGCCTGTGCAAAACAGCCTGGACTGTAGGCTATGCTAAAAATGTATCCTACTGCGCCAACATTAAAAAATTCGTGTAACCGTCCGCGTTAAAGAAGTGAGTAAGTATTCAACAATGTCATGTAAAGTAACTGTCACTGAGATGCTCTCCCACAAAGTTCTAGCTATGTTTCCAAACTTTCTCCAATTGTGCAACACAGTAACATGCACCTCCCGTCAATGAAACCAACATGTCGGAAATAAACAGACCTCCAGAAAATAACGAGTCCTTAACCTGCTCGGTACCACACGGTTTTAAGCTTCTGGTATTAGGCTTCCCCTCCAAAAAGCCTGTTGGACCCAGAATTGACAACTATCACAGCATGTTCGGTAATGCGCGCTCGCTAAGCGACTCAGCCCCCTTCCAGTGATGTAAAGAAGAGCTAAGACACAATATTAAACGTGTTCTTACCTGTATTCTCTCAGGTCTTGAAGTGTACGCTCACACTTTAGTATGTGGACGCAATTTCACTTGGTACCCAGGGGTTATGAATAGGAGAGAGAGGGGTTTCAGACCGACGCTGCCACGTACAGAACCCTTCGGTGGGGGCTGACCGTACTGCCGCGAAAAGACGCGCAGGGACATTCTTCATAATAGATTGATTACACCGAACTCAAGTGCACCTCATACGCAGATGTTACAGAGGTGGGAGAAGTACTCAGATCTTTTACTTTAGAACAAGTAGGAATACCCTTTTACAAGTAAAAGTCCTGCATTCAAAATGTTACTCAAGTAAAAGTACGAATGTATTGTCAGCTAAATGTACTCATTTTCCAAATTGGCCCATTTCAGAATTATATATTATTGGTTTTGATTATAATTATTGAAGCATTAATTACTATTTACCTCTGAATTGTAGATTAGAAGTACAAATTAGCAAATAATTAAACTACTCAAGTAAAGCACAAGTACTTTAAAATTGTACTTAAGTAAAGTACTTGAGTAAATGTACTTAGTTACTTTACACCACTGACAAAGTTCTTATACTTCAACAGAACTAGTAACACCACACAGTAGTATGTTAAAGGTAAAACTCCCACATTTTATTTTAAAAATAAATAAAAGTATACAAGTTTAGGAATTCAAATGTATTTGAAATACAAAAAATAAAAGTAGCCCAAAAAAAATGTATTCAATTATTTCACTATATGACCTTAATCTCTTTCTATACACTGTCTATAAACTATATGGATCAAGGGTCAATAATAATGTTATCTTATTTTCAAATAATACTTAATAGATTATTGGTGATTTATTGGATGTATTAATAATATGAATTAATGCATTCAAAGCAACTAAAGCTGACAAATAAAAATAGTAATACAATAGTACAATAGTAGTACAATATTCACCTCTGAAATAATAGTGTAGAAGAGTAGGAGTATGATTCTATAAAAATGCATTATATTTTTATTTTATGTGTTCTGTGTGTAAAATCTGAACCTGCAAAACAGGTTGTAAACTGTAAGATAATTAGAAGAGAAAAAGTCAAATAGAAATGTCTCTCCTCAATATAGGAGTATTTAAAATGTTGTTTAAGAAAAAGGTGATTGAAAAAAAATCAAAATACTGTTGCTGTAGACCTGAGTCTTACTTCCAAATGTATCATTTATTTTCACAAGAAAGCCTCTTGCAACAATCAAAGAATGGTAGTATATGGAAGACATTCAAAAGCCTTTTTGCCTTTGCATTCAATCTTTTAGGAAGTTTACGGTAATGTAATGCATGCACTTCGTCACGTTTACAATCTGGACATGGATATCCACAGTTTGTTCTCTGGAAGTTCTGAACACCATCTGGAGAAAAAAAAACATCTGCACATGGCTTTTCGGTTATTTCCTGCTCCAGAAGTTTCTGTTTTTGTTACTGTGCTCTCCCTGGCTCTGATAATTCTGTTGCCCATTATGTGCATGCAACCAATGGGAGACATGGTACTTAATTGAAACTAAATGAGGTTGGAGACACCGAATTAAAGATGGCAGGATTATATAAGAGCCTTTGCTTTATTGGAGCAACATACAGTGGCAGGCTGAGGCACATCTGATGAAACACATATTATGATTGCATAATCTCTACAAGAAACAGTATATTCAAGCATTTATTTTTTCCTTAAAAAAATTGGTTATTGATTATTCAGAATGTTCCATTATAAAAAATATATGTATTATAAGCATATTAATGCGTACTTTCAAACATTTTACTTTTGATTTCTTTAAAAAATATATATAGATTTTAAAACGTACTGTACTATACTGTAGGCCCATAAGGTTTATATGATTTCTGACCTGAAATGTTATTCATATATTATAATGGCAAACATCTCCTGGACACTTTGAATGGAGTTTTACCAGCAGGTGTCACTGTGGGTCAGAACAAGGTCATTGATCAACATTAGTTCAATCGGCACTATGGAGAAGCATTAACCTCATCTTTGTTTTAAATCCAATCTTTAAAGTACACTTAAACAAAACATGCCCCATTTCTCTAAGGGCTTGAATGTTCTTGCTTCATCTATTCTCTTCCAGTTGTTGTGCATATCTGCAGTAGCAAGCCATCTTTCCTACAATGAAACAACATGATAACAACTGTCATACATCTGGTCAGAGAGAGGGAGGTTTATTTTCCCAATTAATCAAAATTATATTGTCGTTTTTATCCAGTGTGATGAACCTCAGTCTGAAAATGAGCGGATCTGAATTTCATGCAACAATTAGCTCTATAACAATTCCTTATCATCTTTAAAGGTGATCTTTAAGCCATAGGCCATACCAAATGTAAAATTATAGGCTTGTTTTAGATCAAATTAACAAAACCATTGATAAAAAACATCAAAGCGATTTATTGTGAAATCCACTGAAACTCAAGGCGTGTTAATCCTTAACTTTATGGTATCATGTGGTTCCTCACTTTCTAGTAGGTTACACCTCCTCCCTATTTAAAAGCACAATACCATCTCAACTCACCATTTTCTCGTCATTTGATCTATCCCTTTCCAGTGGGTATTATACGGCTGACCACCTCCTCCCTTCTGATTGAACACCTGAAATTGTCACGATCTGTCTGTGTTGTGTTTTGTCATGTCTTTTTCTGTCTCTGGTTTCCTGTTTTACTTTGAAAAGTGTTCACCCGCTGTCTTGTCTGTTGATTCCTGTCTCTGTGTTTGCCCTCCTGTGTCTGATTTCCTGATTGTGTTCACCTTGTGCCCCTGTGTTTTCTCCTCCCTCCTCACCTGTGTCTTGTTGTGTGATTAGTCTTGTGTGTATTTAAGTTCTGGTTTTTCTGTCTGTCTTTGTTAGATCATTGTTTGTCTTTGACTGTGTCACGTGGTAGTGTTCTGTTTTGGACTTTGTTACCTTGGAATCTGTTTTGGACTTTGTTACCTTGGAATAAAGGAATAGTCTTTGAAATCTGCATTTGGGTCCTGCCTGCTTCACTCAACCCTAACAGAAATGGCGTTAAATGGTAAAATCGCCGTAGTGACCGGAGCAGCCCAGGGAATAGGAAAAGCAATAACAGAGTTACTCCTGCAAAACGGGGCTGAGGTAAAGTTACTTTTTAAATAGAACAGTTGTTTCTATGCCCATTATAGCATAAAAGACAATGAATGAAGGTTGATCGGTGCTGCATTTATTATGGAAACAGTCCAAAACGGCAGCCATTAAAAGCACGATTTTATATCTGATGTCTTTTCACTCGTTCAGGTTGCCCTCTTGGATACGAATAAAACTAAAGGGGAGAGTTTGAAGGAAGCCCTGGACCAACTGTATGGAGAACAGAGTACTCTCTTTCTACACTGCAATGTTGAATCAGAAGAGCAAATCAAAGGTAACACACACTCACTTGTTGGAGTTGAACATTTTGGCACTGGAAAACATGGCTGCTAGTGTTCAAACTTGGCTGCAAAATTATTCGTTAACAAGTAATTGCTTTATTTTCTGCTTCAAGCTGCCTTTCAAAAAACTCTAGCGACATTTGGCAGAATAGACATCCTGTGCAACAACGCTGGCATCTTGAATGAAGTAGAGTGGGAGAAAACTATCTCCATAAACCTCGTAAGAACTTATATTTATATTTACCACCTACAATCAAACTTTTCAAAGGTTAACATGTCCTTATCTGGCTGAACTCTTCAGTTTAACATTACCCCGTGTGCACTGCAATAAATGTTTTATGATGCAGGTGGCTGTTGTCAGGTTTACCTACCTGGCTCTGGAGCACATGAACGAGATGACTGGAGGTCAGGGAGGGGTCATCGTCAACACTGCATCCATGGCAGGTATGACCCACAATGCATTATAATGTGGGGTTTGTAGGATATCAATCAATCAAAGGCACAGAAATGCAGTGCGAGTAGATAATTAAACTAATAATACAGTTGTACATTCACCAGCTTTGATAAACACATTAATGCATCAATATTTATAATCAAAACATATAATATGTTATTCTGAAATGGCCAATCTGCATAATGAGTACTTTTGAGTATATTTTGATGCCAATACTTTTCAACTTTTATAATAGAAACATTTTGAATGCATGTCATGATCCTGGTTTTAGTTTGTTTCCTGTTTTATTTATTGTATGATTGTGTACACCTGCTGCCCCTTTGTTTCACCTGTTCTCTCCAGCTGTTATTTTCTCTGTTATTAGTCTTTTAATTATAAATTCCTGTCTTCCCCGTTGTTCTTTGTCAGTTCCTGTCTGGTTTTCCCGAGGTCCTGCCTGTGTTTCTGTTCTTGTTTCTGGTGTCCCCCGGTCTGTACTTGTTCAATTTTCTTCTTTTTTTTTTACTTTGCTTGGTCTGGTTCCCGTTATTTTGAATCAGCTTTATTTAATTAAAATCTCGCTTTTTGTTTACTTCCCCCCTCTTTTACTGTGTTTGCGTTCAATCTCTTAAAAAACCTTGACAAGAAAACATTAACATTTTAAATTCAAACCTGGTAACACTGTAACTGGTGAAAGCTTTCATCTCTGTCCCACTTCTGACATTAATTAATCAAACAGGAAAGTACTGCATGAAAACAAAAGTATGTTAAATGATAACTCACATCTTTCAGGTCTAATACCTCTAAAAGCTGTCCCTCTTTTTGTTTGACTGTTATCACCCACATCCTGCAGGTCTGGGTCCTGCAAAAAGCTGTCCTGTCTATACTGCCACTAAACATGGAGTGGTCGGCTTCACTCGAGCCATGGCTGTAAGGTTTTTTACTATATATTTTATTTATAAAGAAAAGGACATCATGACTTTTAATTCCCAGCATTGTGCCTCTGAGCATTTAAGGCCTCATGTGTTTATCTTTTAGGCTGCCTCTACTGCCGCAGGCTACGGTGTTCGATTCAACGCCGTTTGCCCAGGTATTGTCCAAACTGAACTCTTGACAAGCCTGTCGAACAAATTGGGACAATTCTCCCAACTGGCTGAAGAATTCCAAAGAAATGCAGAAAAAAGCACGTTAACGTGAGCTGATTTTCTTTTATTTAATCAAACCTATTTTGTTTCCATATTTTTGCTGTGCATTTTGTACATTCTGTTATTATTTCTCTATATAGAAGATATTGTTGCTAGTGGCAAAGTCTACCACGTTTACTGTTCACTCTCATTACACCTGGTCAGAGCTGTATTACTCTAAGGGGCATCCTATTGTGTTTACTGCTTCACAGTAAAAGCTTTCAACTGGCAAAACAGGTTGTCTTTTATTGTGAAGCAGCCTTAAGAAACGTAATGTTTTGTCATTGTTATTATCCTTTGATTATATTATAGGTTATATTATATTAGGTTTCTGCCTGCATTTTCTTTTTGGCTGAGTGCTTTATTTGAGTCGTTTTAACATTTTCTTCCTTTACCTCTAAATAAGGCTTATTTTCTAAAAGAAATTCAAATCAATACGTAAAATAGATTAACACTCACACATTTGGAAACAGGACATAAAAAGATAAATTGTGATGTAACTGTTACAATATGGTTTTGCTTCTTCTGTTAAAATCCCTGTACCTTTTTTCTTTCAGTGTGTCTGAGGTAGCTGATTGCCTCCTCGAGCTGGTGACGGATGAGACCAAGAATGGAGAAGCCTTACAAATTAGATGCAATGGAAAGAAATACATGACATTTCCTGTTTTTACCTAATGGGTAACTAGGATTATACAGTCGGACCAACAAAACAAAGCCCACCAACTGAATCCTGTAATGTTTCACACTGCACTAACTGAATCCTGTAATGTTTCACACTGCACTAATCTGCTTAAAAATGTTTCATCATGGTATAATAATCGCAAACATACTTCACCAGTCATGTGAAAAATGATCTATTAAATCCTTACACATCTGATCATATATAACATGTTTGTTTTAATTGTTTTTTATATGTATAGTCTACAAAAAATAACAATCTGATGTTATTAATAAATGAATAAAACCTTACATAACTCTGTCTTTCAGTCATTCGCAGTCACTGAAAAATCTTCAAGAAGCAAAGATTGCTTGCTTAGGCTTTGCCATCTGACTCTATTTGAATATTTTGCATACATAAAGGCAGCAAACTTAATACTGTGATTTTAAAAGAGGTTATGCCTCGTAATGCCAGTGGTAATCTGTCCGCTCATTCCTTTTGCCTTCCTGTTAATGCATGTTTGTTCACTCTGTAAACAGACCCAGGAAATATAAGTCATTTGTACATAAAATCATTGATAAAAGCACACATCTTTCAAATCTGAACACATATGATTGTGTGTGTGTATCTATCTATTACTAATGTAATGTAGTATCTTTGAAGTCCGGCAATGCTACTTTTACCACAGTAAAGGGACACACTTGCACACATGTATTGTAACCAAAAGCAAATATTTTATTTCAGCAGTACTAGCAAAATTAATGAAAGGAGAAGAAGTGGCAACAGCGGCCAGCTTAGACTTCCCATGTACATTGTCGACAATATTAAGACATTTTCAATACAATTATTTGTCTGATGTAGTTGTAATCAAAGGCACTTGAGGCATTTCGTTTTTTTATTTTGTGCTTTCAAGAAGAGAAGCATTGCAGTTTTGATTATAAAATCCAATACTACAATACCTGCCAATGCTGGCGTTGTGGATTTAATTGCAGGGAGCTTCTAACTGAAAGATGGAAAAGTTATGTATTGTTTTCCTTTAGGGATCAACGATAAGGCATCTCCATTCTTCGTCTCGTCTTTCATCAGCTCCAGGGCGCACTCTGCTACCTCAGACGTACTGAAATAAAAAGGGTACAGTGATTTTAATGAATACGCCTGTATCCAGTATCACACATGTTCACAAGAATGTATCTTAACATGTAAAGTCATAGAGGAGTCTAAAGATAATGGAATTCTTTTCATGCTTTATGGAAATGTATGTGGTAGTACCTAAGGTTATGCATTGTTGAATAAAATTGATATTTTTTGTGAGCCTTAGTACAATCATTAACAAATCAACACAAGCAAGACTCACTTTAATATCCCAAACATGTCTTCAAGCTGTTTGTTTGCATCAGCCAGGTGGGAGAATTGCCCAAGATTGGATGTAGTATTGACTAAGAGGTCAGTTTGGACAAAACTTGGGCAAAGAACATTGAACCGTATGCCATAACCTGAAGCGGTAGAGGCAGCCTAGGAAAAAACCCACATACACATTATTTAGATTCAACTTCCAGAAGCACAATGTTCAAGACATTAAAAGGACAAGGTGTCTCATTCAGGAAAAGCAATTCAATTATACTCGCAAAAAAAAGCCTGTACAATGTCAAAGCATTTCATATAATTTGCATTGATTCCCACACCTATGTGGGCACAACACTATCTCTGTACATGCACTTAAAGGTCCCATGTCATGCTTTTCCGGTTATTACCCCTTGTGTGTTATGTAAACGGTATGCAAAGTCACAAACCCTCAAAGTACACCCTGTAGCGAGTAAAACTCTAAGACAGAAAAGACCTGTCTATGCTGCCCCAGAACGCCTCGTTGGAGATTTTTCTTTTTCCATTTTTTTCTTCTGGGAACCAAGTGACGTAACGACGACCAAATGGACCTTTAAAAAACACTTTAATTGACTTATTGTACACAGGCATTACTTAAACTGTGTCTCATGTCTCTGCCAACACTGCAATGGGCATTTTGACTGGATAGTGTTGTCTTAAATATCACAAAGCTGCTGGAAGTGAATATTGTAGCTGTTAGCTAGCTAGCTAGCTAGCTGACAACATTATCCTTGATGGTACATTGCAGACTGCTAAATTAACCCAATAAAATTAACAGTGGCTTTCTTTCAACAACACTGATGTTGCATGTTTATTAAATGTAAAATAACCACACATGTAACCTGTATTTGTATAGAGCAGTGCTTCTCAAAGTGTGGTCCGCGGACCACTGGTGGCCCGTGAGCGCCCCCTAGTGGTCCGTGAGTATATTGGTACAATTTCACATTTGAAATAAATAAATACATTTAAGTTTTCCGCACTCTCGCGGGAATATCTCCGCAATGGAGCGAGCTTAAGTTTCACTTTCGATTGCATGATATAGCGCAACACTTTCATCACACATGTTGCCACTTGTTTGTACCATTTTCAGGCGATTTGTAATCTGTTCTAGAAAAACGATGTGATTTTGGATATTTGTGGAGTTAGGTGGTCCGCTAGTGTTTTTTTATTGGTTAAGTGGTCCTTGGTATGAAAAAGTTTGAGAAACACTGGTATAGAGCTATGCCCCGCAACCTTTGTTAAATAGCCAAGATGGCGACCGATGGCAAACTTTTTGAAAGTTCATAGTACACTGCATTTTGCCATAATTCTCAGTGTGAAAGCACTTTTGTCATCAATAAAAGCAAGTGTACAAAAGTACACCTATTGAGACATGTTTAATTCTTTTTTGGAAATTTCTTCTCGAAAACCATCCTTACCGCCATGGCTCGAGTGAAGCCGACCACTCCGTGCTTGGTGGCAGTGTAGACAGGACAGCTTGGTACAGGGCCCAGACCTGCAGGATGGGGGTGATATCATTCAGACAAAAAGTTTTCTTAAAGATTTTACAACAGGTAAGTAAATGATATACATTTGGTCATTTTGTGGGTGAAGTATTCTTTAAAATTATGAGTTCTTTATAAACTTTTTGGCTGCAATGAATGTAGCTTTTTCATATACCGTCCTTTGTCTGCAGGCTTAATTCTTTGTGAAACATATATTATTTGTCTGTTATGCAAGATATATCATCTCTCTTCTTTTCTACCCGACTCGTTTCTGCAAATTCTGAGAATTTAAACAAAGTCAAAAGCAGTTTATAATAATAAACAAGAATTTCTTGTAACAAAGACACTTTTTTGTCTGGTCTTTACCTGCCAAAGATGCAATATTGACGATGACCCCGCCACGACCTCCATTCAACTTGCTCATGTGCTCCAGAGCCAGGTAACTCATCCTGATAACACCCATCTAAAACATAGAATAGTTACTGTTGATATTGGTGTAAACAGCTGTGATTTGTTTCTTTATGTCTATGAATACTTTGTTGTGTACTACATATTGTGAAATAAAAAACAGAAAACTGAACTAAATGAAGTTTAAAAAGAAAGAAAAATGTTGCGTGCAGTGGTGCAAATAGTCATTCATAAAACACTGCAATTGTATGTGTTGTGGACCACAACACATACAATTGCAGTGTTTCATGAATGACTATTTGTGGTGTAATTTACAGGTATAAGAAATTGACATAATAGCAGCCAGATGCAGTGTGCTTCTCTCTACTTCTTACGAGGTTTACAGCGACAGTTTTCTCCCACATTTCCTCATTCAACAGGCCAGCGTTGTTGCAAACGATGTCTATCCCACCAAAGGCTTCTGCAGTTTTCTGTAAGGCAGCTAAAGAGCAGAAACAAGTTATTTGTTCACTTTTAATTTCATAACCAGGTGGAACTTGTCCTCTTATTTGGCCACATTGTACATTTCTTAGTGTGGCATCATTCACATAAGGCAGTGACCATCAGCGCGGGGGTGGGGTGACTGTGGCGTTGGCGGAGTGGTGTTTTAACGCTGATTCAAAATAGCAGAGAAACATGCATTCTTGTTCTCAGGAGGGGACATTGACAGAGGATTACTCAAAAAGTACACAGTAAGTACTTCATAGTACTTGTGGTAGTTTCACTACTAGCCTACTGAGTCCAACAGTGTCAATATCACGAAGAACTAATGGCAGAAAAAATAATAACAAACTCGAGAGATGGCTGAGTTGACCGCAGTACAGAATCGCTGTATAGTTTAAATCTCCTAACAATGTTGTCCATTTTAGACATAGCCTATTATATTTACAGCCCTTAATAACATTTATTTTCTGGGCTCAATATGTGTCTTGGCTGTTTTCGTTGTGAAAACAAATGGACCTTAGATACACGGATTGACCGTCCTCATCTGCGTAAGGTAACTTCCGGTAGCAGAATATGAAAAAACTGTAGTTTTTTTGTTTCTGTTTTCTAGTGATTTTATTTTTTGTTTTGAGAAGTAGAAAATGAAAATCATCCCGTTTTTTAAGTTTAGTAAATCCCTTTTTGACCATGATAAAGAAAAACGCCTTGTATTTCAATTTTGGTATTTCAATTTTAAAACGAAAATTAAATATCCAGTCGTTTTTTGTTTTTGAATATCCATTTGTGAAAAGAAAATCCAATGACCAAAACATACACTGACCGTGATCACCGGAAGGGGAGGGACTTCGCCGGCGAAGTCCCTCCCCTTCCGGTGGACCGGAAGGGGACCTTATTTCGGAAAAATTATGTATTGAAGTCAATGGAGAGAGAAAGATTATCTTTCGATCCCGTTTGAATTGTGCCACGAATTACACATATGATGTTTGTCAATTTAAAAGATAATTTTGCAAGTCAAAAAAAAAAAAATGTGTCGTAAAACTGTGAAGTAACACATTTGTTTGTGTGAAACGCTCAATGAACTACATCTCTGATCAACAACACACGTCACCAAGATGGCCGTCACTACTGTCTTGTCAACAAAACGATTGACTACCCTCACTATCACCACAATGAAACACGTCCTGAAGAATGTCATGCAAAGCTGCCTGCCTGCCTTCCTTTGATTCTCTCTGAACTGCCTGGTCGTTTTAATGTTTAATGTCAACCATTTGTGCAGATAGCATGAAGTAGAGAAGATCGTCGATGCTAGCGTTAGCGTTAGCATTTCTCCCCCGGGCTTAAATTGTGTATTATGGAATGATCACACCGGTGTGACAGTACTCTTCAAAGGGTTCACGAAATATGACTACTACTCTTACTGTTTAACATTTTGGGTTACTTAATGTTACTTCATGTTAAGGCTAATACAAATGACAAGGCTGTAATGCTAACTAACGTGCTAGCTACTAGCTAGCTTGATCCAGACACTCCTAGTCCTTTCATCAGACGGGAAGCGAAAGAACGAGCAAGACCCATTGCTGGTATGAACAACCTGGTACTAAGCACACAGGCATCTTGTTAAAGTTATCTTATCTTAGCCAGCGCCATATAGATAGATTATATCTATATGGCGCTGATCTTAGCTATCTCTTAGTGGAGGAAAACAATTGTGACATCACTTACGCGACTCTGGGATTTGTAGTCTTTCTAGTTGCATATTTTTCATAGTCTTATATTTCAACAGTTTTACGACAAACTGTGACTTTTTTGACATGGAAATTATTTTTTAAGATTGACAAACATCATATGTGTAATTCATGGCACAATTCAAACGGGATCGAAAGATACGTTTTCTCTCTCCATTGACTTCAATACATTATTTTTCCGAAATAAGGTCCCATGGGGCGGAAGTAGATGGGCGTGACTTCGCCACTCTATAGGGCGGCTCAAAGTATTTTGTCCGGCCGTTGTGAAGACTGGTTTGTTTATTGTCCTTGTTTTTGTTTTAAATAAAGCATATTCAATCGAGACATGCCAAACATGTGACGTCATATGACGCGTCGCATCTGCGCACAGGGAGCAGGGTGACCCCGAGATCCGTATTCCCCGTATTTTTTAAATAAAGAGATTTTCAATCACGGGCGTGCGTCAAACGTGTGACGTAATGTGGTATTAAAAGTATTAAAAGAGGTGAAAATCACTACAAGTCTGGGCATGTTGAGAGCTGTACATACACACACATTTCATAGTCTTATATTTCAACAGTTTTACGACAAACTGTGACTTTTTTGACATGGAAATTATTATTTAAGATTGACAAACATCATATGTGTAATTTGTGGCACAATTCCAACGGGATCGAAAGATAATCTTTCTCTCTCCATTGACTTCAATGCATACTTTTTCCGAAATAAGATCCCATGGAGGAACCCGGAAGTTTGACGGACATTACCCACAATCCTCTGTAGCAACCATAGACTGTATAAAAAAATTCAATAATACATTATTCCGAGTGTGCTTGCTTTTCTCTTTGAAAGTCATCACATAACGGCATTGTAATACACGTTTCGGCTGCATTAAATATGACATATCTGCCGTAGTTAACTCTATTTAGAGAGCCCTGATGACAAGACTTCTAGACAAACAGGAACTGCCGCCAAAACTGAAACCTTGACGTGAATCTTAAATATATAAGCAATTAAACAACATCTTACATTTCTTTTCACACAATACGTCTCCTTGCAGTATCAACACTAATTCGGCTGACTTTTATATTTGATCCAATTGGTAGATAGGCTGTATTTACGCCATAACGGTGCACAGCTGATAGAAAGGGACACCTACTGGTTAAAGCACGTTATTGCATTTTATAATTTTATTATTAGATATTAATAGGATCCCTATAAAGTATATTCTTTACTCGTCGTTATTCTCTACTAATAGTTAATTAAAGACTGTATATAATGACTATTTTGCACATCCCTTTCAAGATTTCAAGATTTTCAAAGGTTTATTGACATATCATATTATACACAACTACGGTGTAGTTATGCAATGAATGAAAAACTTGGGTCGCAGGTTCCTCAACAGTGCATTACAAGACATCTATCAATATGTGTGTACCTCCACCATTACATTGTCATATTCTGCACATTTCTTATACTATCTACATACATCTTATAAGAGTATAATACATATGTATAATATCAGTTAAAATAAGTGCTTCAACATAGTTAACATTGCAGGAAAGCAATATATTATATTAGTTAAGTACTTTGTCAGGCTTAATATTTATCTGTAGATACAAATGTCACTGTGTGTGCTGCATGTGTGACCATCAAAAGAGGGTTTCATCCCTCCATATTCATCTTCTATACCCCCAAAGCTTTTTTCTTATTCAAAAGAAGACCTTAACCTAAAGTATTCTTTAATGTTTAAATAAAGCCTTATTAGTTTGTCTGTTTTGCACATCCTCCTATTAATATCTAATAATAAAATTATAAAATGCAATAACGTGCTTTAACCAGTAGGTGTCCCTTTCTATCAGCTGTGCACTGTTATGGCGTAAATACAGCCTATCTACCAATTGGATCAAATATAAAAGTCAGCCGAATTAGTGTTGATACTGCAAGGAGACGTATTGTGTGAAAAGAAATGTAAGATGTTGTTTAATTGCTTATATATTTAAGATCCACGTCAAGTTTTCAGTTTTGGCGGCAGTTCCTGTTTGTCTAGAAGTCTTGTCATCAGGGCTCTCTAAATAGAGTTAACTACGGCAGATATGTCATATTTAATGCAGCCGAAACATGTATTACAATGCCGTTATGTGATGACTTTCAAAGAGGAAAGCAAGCACACTCGGAATAATGTATTATTGAATTTTTTTATACAGTCTATGGTTGCTACAGAGGATTGTGGGTAATGTCCGTCAAACTTCTGGGTTCCTCCATGGGATCTTATTTCGGAAAAAGTATGCATTGAAGTCAATGGAGAGAGAAAGATTATCTTTCGATCCCGTTTGAATTGTGCCACGAATTACACATATGATGTTTGTCAATCTTAAATAATAATTTCCATGTCAAAAAAGTCACAGTTTGTCGTAAAACTGTTGAAATATAAGACTATGAAATGTGTGTGTATGTACAGCTCTCAACATGCCCAGACTTGTAGTGATTTTCACCTCTTTTAATACTTTTAATACCACATTACGTCACACGTTTGATGCGCGGCCGTGATTGAAAATCTCTTTATTTAAAAAATACGGGGAATACGGATCTCGGGGTCACCCTGCTCCCTGTGCGCAGATGCGATGCGTCATATGACGTCACATGTTTGGCATGTCTCGATTGAATATGCTTTATTTAAAACAAAAACAAGGACAATTAAAGCTGCAAGCAGCGTTGAGCGGGTCTTCGACGCTCCGCAGGCTGTTGTCCGTACGTCGACGTCAGGCAGATGTCTCGAGGACTCGGCCGTTGGCAAACGTGGGAAGTTTTAGGCCGATCGGACAATGTATTTAGGAGTTACAGCAGTATCATAAACATTGTGTTTGATGGCGAGTGATCAGTCGCCATGGCAACGGAATTTGATGACACCCCATAATACGCCTAGATGTGTTGAGGGCTGCATCGTTATCAAACCTGTGACGTTTTGGGCCGTTTGGAGCATGTTAACTGGAGTTATGAGAAAACCGTGTTTCACGGCAACCATGTTGTTACCATAGCAACGACATGTGACGAAATCTCAAAACTGACACATATATGTGTGTCGAGGGCTTGACGGTTAGCACACATGGGAAATTTGAACACTTTTTACCATTTACACAGGAGTTATAGCAATATCGTGCTTAACGGCGAGGGATGCGTTGCCATGGCAACAGCTTTTGAGGAAAACTCACTATTGTCATATTGATGCGTTGAGGGCTGTCATCTGAAGTCTGGTGCAGTTTGGACCATTTTC